ATATAATATATAATATATAATATATAATATATAATATAATATATAATATATAATATATAACATACAATACCATATATCATATATCATAGATATAATAGATATAACAGATATAATAGATATAATATACCATATAATATATAATTTATAATAATTATTATAATTATTTTATAATTACATAATAATAAAAATTAAATAATATTTAAAATTAAATTAATGATATTAAAACCCCTTTCATATTAAAAGTCCATTTATTTTTTCCTGAGGGCTAAGGCTCCTTTTTGCAAATCTCTCTGCTGGCCAAGATCAACACATGAACTCCTGAAGTTCCTGGTCAGACTCAGGTTGTCCCACTGCAGTGCTTGTACCATTCACATCCCAAAACAAAACATTTGTGTCTGCCCCTCATGTATTTCCCAGGATATTTTGAGCAATTTAGCTAATGAAGATAACACCCAGCAGTGAAACAGCTGGGTTATTGATGTGTGATGGATTTGGGGGGGGATTGAGGAAGATTATTTCTAAAAGAAAAAATAAAGGTAATTTTGATTCACTGCAGTGAATTGGCCAAGTGTTTCTTCAATATCTAGCCCTAAAAACCAGCAGAACCTGTTTCCACTATGGACACAAGTCCAGCCTTATTTAGAAGGTCTTCAGTCAGTGTAGTATTGCAATGAAGGAAGCACTTCCCAAACTATTTAATAAAGTACATACACCACTTTAAAGCCTCAAACCATGAGCTCTGATGACAGGTTCTGACATAAATCTGAACATTTCTGTGCCTAAGTACTTTATTGAGTCAGGGCCAAAACATGTGCTTAACCCCAAGTGCTTCATCATTCTGCTGAATCAGAGCTGTGCCACTGGAAAACCTCTGGAGAAGGCAGGACTGAAGCACAGGAAGTTGCAGGGTCCCACATCTGTGGCAAACACGGGAGTTGAGCACATTTTGCAGCACAACCCAAAGAGTTTTTCACCCATCACTTGTGTTTCAAAAAGGGGGAAGAGCTGAGCACAGATCCCAGCAGGACAGAGGGCGGTGGAGAAAGCTCCACACTGGGAGAAGGATGGACAGGGCAGGAAGTGGAGCCAGGAAACCTCTGGCTGAGGGCAGGCAGCTGGGATCGATGCCATGAAAACCTCTCCTGGAAGGGGAGCAAACCATGTGTGCCCTGCAGAAGTGCTGGGGTTTTTGGGATGGTGGAAGTGGAACAAACCAGTGCAGGATTTGGGAAGTGCTGGAGTTTTTGGGATGGTGGAACAATTCAGTGTTGGATTTGGATTTGGGAGGTGCTGGGGGTTTTGGGGATGGTGAAAGCTGCACAATTCAGTGCTGGATTTGGGAGGTGCTGGGGTTTTTGGGATGGTGGAAGTGGAACAATTCAATGTTGGATTTGGGAGGTGCTGGGGGTTTTTGGGATGGTGGAAGCTGCACAATTCAGAGCTGGATTTGGGAGGTGCTGGGGTTTTTGGGATGGTGGAAGTGGAACAATTCAATGTTGGATTTGGGAGGTGCTGGGGTTTTTGGGATGGTGGAAGCTGCCCAACTTACTCGCACACGAAGGTTCCCAGAGGAATGTCCTGCATCGTCCGCACTCCCCAGCCCATCTTTTGGGTCCGGTAAAGCTGCAACCGAGTCCTGGGAAAGAGGAAGAGAGGAAATGAAGCCACACTGATGGCAGCACTCCATGGAAAGAATGGATTTTCACGGAGAGATGAGCAAAAAGCCAGCACCTTCCATCACCACACGCTCCCAGAGGATTTTAATATTCACCCTCCCGTTCTCACCCTGCAGGGATGCTCCACTCCCACCGCTCCCAGCTGTGGGCAGATGCTGGCATGGAAACAGCCCAGGGACAAGGGAAAGGTACCAGGGCTAGATGCTGTGTGTGATGATGATTTACAGAGGATATCAGAATGCCACCAGCAGCATTTCCTCCCCCTCCACACAGCCCTGGGAGAAGCAGGGAAGGTGGAAGAGGATTTACAGCAGTGGAGCCGTGCAGGGAGTGGTGCTGAAGGGGAAGGCAAGGAGCTCCCAGGGACTAAAGAACACCTTGAGCTAAGTGCTCTGACCCCTCTGCCCTCTGCCAAAGCCAGGGCATTCAGCAATTCCATCATATCCAGCTGCCTGGATGAAAGACAAGAAAGAAAAGCTGCAACTTGAGACTTCTTGGTATAATAGCTGCTCTGTGGAATTTTACTGATGGGGTTTATAGGCAGAGAAACAATCCTGTAAGTCATTCTGCCTCGTGCTCAGCCAGAACCTGAGTTAAGTGCAGGATGAACAGTCGCCAGGGCTAGGAAAAGCTTGCTCTATCCCTGAGGGAACCAAAACCCACTCTCAGCAACGCTGTTATCGGAATTAAGTGAAATCTGATGCTCACCTTAACTTCACCCTGTTGCTTTTCCCAGTACTTCTCTTCCCCCCACCCACTCCCTCCTGCACTGTCAGCTCAAACCAGGGATGTCAGTTTTATCCTGTTTGCCCACAGCTTCACCAGGGCAAACCATGACCTCAGGGGAGTGACTGCTCTCCGAGAAACAAGGTCTAACACTGGGTTTGGGCCTTGGGGAAGCTCCCCCAGGTTTTGGCTTGTCCAGCAGAGCAGAGCAGAGCCCGGCTCAGATCTGAGCTCTGCGCTGGAGCCGACACCGGTGGCAGTGGGGCCGTGGCTCTGAGCCGAGCCTGCCAGCTGAGCTGGGCCAGGCTGCCAGCTGGATACGTGTGCTCTGCCAGGCAGAGGTAATTTGGAGCCAATCTGATCAAGAAAACACTGAAAACGGAGCAGCAGCACCCCTGTGGCAGCTGCAGCCCCAAGGCAGGAGCCTTCCCCTCTGCCTCCCCAGGGACCGTGAGCTCTGCCCAGACCCTCCTTCCCAGCAGAGCTGCTCCCCCCAGCTCGTGGCTGTGTTCCCAACCCTTCCCATCTTTCAGAAAAAAACACTTCAGCAAGGCAAAAAAATGCCAAAGCAACAGCTCTAGCTGTACAGCTCCTAAAGAAACACCCACGGACGCACCGGAGCTTGGCAGGGAAAACCAGGGAGAGGTAAAGTTCTGAGGAAACACATCCAGTTTCTTCCTTGCTTATTTTTAACACTGCAAAATGTCATTGAAACTACAAAGCTTGCAAAAAGAGTGTTGTCAGCACCACAAAGAAATTCAAAAAGGTCTTTTTTTTTTTTTTTTCAAGTGGGATCCCTTTGAACTTAGTGCAGTGGCAAACTCCACCAAAACCAAACCAGAACATTGGCATTTTTAGCTAGGCACCAAAATCCCAACGGTCTAAGCTGGAGCAGCGAGGCCAACAGGCATTCAGGTATCTAATTCAGGGGGAATCATGCCAAGAACATGGAAATTTTAAGCAGCCAAGTCTGGGCATGCTGGCCTGTATTTCCAATCTAGACTGCTGGCTTACAAGATCTTCGGAATTCAGACTCTGCTGCTGTCATGTCCTTCTCAGCTCCCCCCCTGAGACACTTGGGCAGTGCATGCAAACCCACAAGCCATTTGTATGTTTTATGGTCAGCTGATGAAAGAACACTGCAGTTCCCACCTGATGGTGCCATGGGCAGGGTGCAAATATTAACTGAGATGTTAATTGAGCTCATCAACCCACTGCTGCTTCATTCCCACCGGCAGCAGGCAGGAACCCGCTTCCATCCCACCAGCCCCAGCTTCTGTGCTGGGTTTTGTGGGATTATGGGGGAGCTGAGAGCCAGAAATCTCATGGCTTTGGGGTTGGTCCTGCCCAGATCAGCTGTGTTTGCCCCTCCTGCTCACCTGAGGCCGTTCTGCACCACCCGGTTCCTGCAGGTTCTCCAGCACGAGCACGCGTGGTTGCACTCAAAGATCAGGGGGGGCTCAGCCATGTTGAACTCAGGCAGGAGTCGGCCATCCTGAAGGACAAAAAACCCCACACTGGGTTATTGTCTGCTCCTGGGACCCCCAAAACCACAGGCAGAAATTTCCCCCAAGGGTAAAAACAGCCCAGAGAACCCCACGGTGGAGTCATGCCCCAAACCCAGCGTCAGAGCTCAGGTTCTGCAGAGGTTTTGCTCTACCCTGACAGCAGCACAGTCACCCACAGCTGACAAACAGCCAGAGAATTTGGATTTTTGCTGCCTGCTATCACCCTACACAGCATTAAAAAAATACCTCCCAGTGCTGTGCAGAAAACTGGTGTGCATCATCATTATTGCCATTTGCTGTGCTGGAGGGGAGAAGTGGATGCTTAGTCTGCCTCTGGAATAAAGCCTGAACTTGCAGAGTCCAAGGCCAGTTCTGTGAACCACACTACCTTCCCAAATAACACTCCCAAAAAAAGCTACAATTCAATTATTTACCAACATACAGGACTAAGGAAGTGATGGATGCAATTTATCATATTTAACAAATGTGGCTTTTAAGGCTTGAGAGGTGTAATCACCTATTAATGTGTAAATAAATGGCTAGAAAGCCAAGAAAGATGCCAACACTCCCCCTGGGAGAAACCTGCAGAGATTCACAGAACTTCTGATCTTTGTAGCACCTGCCCAAAGATGAATCTCAAAACCTCCCTGGAGGGTAGAAGCATTTACCCAAAACAAACCTGACTTTCTGACAGTGAAAAAACCTTATCTTTTCCTTCATCCAGAGGAATCACAACAAATAAAAGCAGATTAAAAAAAAAAATTCTCTGTCTACTCTTCTCCCTTTGTTTACATCTTACAGCACTTCCCACGTTGCTCTGAAATGGAAGCTGATTTCATGCATGGATTATTAAATGCTCCCTATCACATGGGTGTAATTAATGGCTCAGTTGGCACGAGAGGAACACAAATAAATAACACAAGAAAAGCTGCCCTGAGCACACAGCTTGGATTATCACACATGTCTCAGAGCTGAGACTGTAACTTCAGGCATTTTAAGTCAAGAAGAAAGGAGCTGGAATTACAGAAGCAGGGAATGGTTTGGGTTGGAAAGGGCCTTAAAGCTCAGCTCCTTCCCTTCCATGGGCAGGGACATTTCCCTCTAGACCAGGGTTGCTCCAAGCCCTGTCCAACCTGGCTCTGAGCTGTGCAAGGAACTGAATTAGGCAAAATTTAGCTCCCAAGCCCTGGTGTGAGCCAGGAGGGGGCTGTGTGTCCTCACCTTGTCGTACCAGCAGCGCATGCTGAGCTGGCCACACATGCAGTTACTGGAGGAGCAGTCGTCTATACAGACACAATACTGCAAGAGAAACAAAGGGTTAATTCCACACCACCCACACAACTGAGACTGCAACTGGTGACTGGGTCAGGAAACCACATCTCCTCCTCTTGCTGCAGCTTCTGGGCCAGAAGGATCACCAGCTCCACCGTTCCATGGCAGTTTTACTCCATTCTTTATTTCTGTGTGCAATGAGCACCGAAGGACTCTGCCTGGCAAGGAAGGATCTCATTCTGAGCCAGCCTCAGGAGAGGATGTTCCCCTGCTGTTAACCCTCCCCATGCCCTGTGAGCTGCTCTCCACACCTGAGGACAAGGAAAGCTCCAAGTGACACCAGAGTGTCACAGCCAAGACCTCGGCCTGGGCGCTGCAGTCCACGGGAAGGCAGCACGGGGAAGGTGTCCCAACAAATCCCCGACTCTCCAGCCTCAGAGGAGAGCAGAAGGATAAATGGGAGCTACATCAGCCAGCACCAGATGGCCAATGCTACAGCTAAAGCCTCAAAACTGAAAATTTAAATCCCATCTCCTACAATAAGAGCTGGAGGTGAGGCACTCAGCCTTAGCTGGAATTTGTTGGTGATATCAGGACTCAACATTCCCATCTGGAACTACAAATCTGTCCTGAGGAGTGCTGCACAGCCCAGAACAGGACCCAAGCACAACCCCTCACCTGTAAATGAGTGATGTTCCTGTCAATGTCCATCGGGGAGGTGACACAGTTCTGTGACACGTATTTGTAATTGCTGGGGCAGGGCTCACTGTCCACGGAATTGACACAGGGAATGGGGATCCGCTCGTAACCCCGGGCAATGTCTCTGTCAGTGGAGAAAAAACTGTCACAGAAGGAAAGTCCCCCCAGACAAGGGGCCATTCAAATGCCATCCTGGGGCAGAATCACTGGCTTTGAGCGCTGAGCACTCCAAGACATTCAGATTAGAACAGAGCTCACGTTTTCCCACCCTGCCTTACAGATGGTTCTTTGTGCTTGTGAATATTTCCATTTGGAGGATGGATTTGCAAGCCATGGGCTGATTCAACATGGGATTAGTTCTTGCTAAGCTCACACTGACCTTCACACCAGTTTAAGAAGCTACACAGTTCTTTCTTAAGCCAGGCCCCTGTGCAAAGGCTCAACTTCATGACCCACAAGCAAAGCCAGCCCTATTCTCACCTGCTCACCACCTTGTCTATCTGGGCAGGCTTCTCAGAAGACGATTCTTTGAGAGTCTTGTTCATCTGTAGGGCCACCCAGACCTGAGAGTTAAGGCTGGAGCACTGGAGCGGGGTCTCACCCTCCTTGTTCTTTAAAGTGACATCCGAGCCACGGGAAAGAAAGAGACTGCAAAACAGCAAGGAAGGGTAAGGATTCCCCAGGAGAAACCAGGCAAGGGGATAACAAGCTGAATCACATCCTCCAGCCAGCCCTCAGGGGACAAGGAAGAATCTGTAGTAGTGAATAATCACCTGAGTTTTCTTTATTAAGCATGGTTCAATGAATCCTTCTGACAGAAGCCACAGACTGGAGCTCTGGGCACCCATGAGAGCTCTGGGCAAACCTTGCCTTGCTTCAGGTACCCTGCTGGTACCAGCCTAACTTCAGACAGGCTTGAAACTCTCTCTGGCAGGGAAAGATATGGGGTGGGAAGAGTAGGCTGGAAATGGAAAAGTGCCACAGGAAACTGCTGGTGGACATGGCCCTTGTTTATACTCACCAGCTTTTGGTGAGAACATGATGGCTTTATTCAGAGCAGGGATGAAGCAAAGGAAAAGCCCTGTTACCATGCTAGTTGTGGGGAAAAAAAGCTTTAATCAAGGAAGCCTGACACCTTCCTGCTGGGAAGCCCAGGCTGAGCACAGCCCCTCAGACTCCAGAACACGCCGCATTTTCTGACCAGCTCTGGCAGCAGCTGGTACCTCACACACCCCACCCCTGGGAGAAAAAGAAGGCCTCCATCCCAATCCTGGGCTGTGTGTGAAGACCAAAGGCGTTTCAGAGGCTCTCCTGAGCCTGGCAGGCAGCACTGAGGGAGGCAGGGAGGGGGGTGAGCAGGGCACTTACACCACACACTCGTAGCGGTTCTCTCGGGCCGCGATGTGCAGGGGCGAGTCCCCGTGGATGTTCACGGCGTGCAGGTCACACTTTGCTGCCAGCAGGATCTCAGCTATGTCAACACAGCCAGAAAAAGCAGCCCAGTGCAAACAAATGTTTTCCTCCTGGAGGGAAAAGAGAACAGAGTGGAGATTGTTTAAAACCCCGTGGCTTTGGGATGCCACCTTCCTTCAGCTCCGCACCTGCAGCGTTCATCCCCACCATCCCCACCCTGGGAATGCCAGAGTGGACAGGGAAACCCTAGAGCAGCCAAACAGGGAGTTCTCACTCCATCCAAGCACACCAAGGATGGGGAGGCTGCACACAAGGCAATCCATCACCTTCCCTACACACGCACAGACAGCTCGTCTGTCTCCAAGCCACAAACCAATCTGGATCAATCCAGGAGAGGGGTGACAGACATGAACAAACATGCTGGAAAAGGCTGGAAGCTGAGTTTCCCCAGCCCCAACAGCCAAGAAAGCTACTGTGCCTCCTAGGGCAGCAAAATTAGGGAGAAAAAGAGCACAGCACGAAATTAAGCAGAAAAAGAGCACATAGGGTACGTGAAGGTGCCAAAAAGAGAACCAGGAGCCATGGGGTAAGCAATCAATCTGACTCCAGGCATCTCTTAAATACTGTATGTACTCATCTCTCACCAGCAGCACTGGAAATAGCTGAACACTCATCTTTTTGATGGAGATATTTTAAGGGATGATCCTGTTTTCTGTTACACTGCAATTTGCAGCACACGTCGATCCCTTCCCCATGACAGGCTCTAAAGACGTCGATGACAACAGTGAAATGATAGTAATGATCACCCAGCTATTCTCCTTTTTTCTTCTTTTTAAAGCAAAAACAAAGCTGCTGCTGGAGTGTTTGAGCTGTTACCACATAACTTAAGGTCCTGCCTTAAATAGGGAGCTATTGCCACACATCAGGGAAGGGGGAGACACTTTTCTACCCAGCTCCTGGTTCCCTTGACAGCATCATCTAGAAAAATCCCATACAATCTTGAGAAAACATCCACCCTGTGGGTTGCACCCACGTGCTGCAGCTCAGACAGGTCACAGACACCTGGAGAGGTGCTCTGCCTTGCATTGCTCCTGCCTGAAAAGCAGCATCATCACAATCAAAAGCATTTCTCTCGGAGCAGGATGTTTCCCAGCACGAGTGACATTTGTTCTCAAGCACATCCATCGGGACACCCCAGCTGCGGGTCCAGGATGGATGTGTGACACACACAGCTGGTAAGAGCAGAGTTTTCTTTCAAGTAAATTGTTGATTTGATGTTCATCATTAATGTGTGATCTTGAAGCTGTGACAGATCAAAGAGTGTGTTTTGTTCAGAGTCAGCAAGCAGATGTACAGCCCCAAAAGCCCCCTCTCACCTTGACTTTTGTTTTTAGGAATAGGATTGGATCCAGACCTGCCTGGGAACTGGGAACTATCTAAATGTGCAGGGTTTGGCAGGGGTAGAGTTAATCTTTCTCCCAGTGGCTGATCTGAACACAGGGGTGGTGACAGAGATGTTTTTACCGCTGCTGACACAGAGCCTGCTCTGGTCCTCCCCCCTCACTGGGGACACAGAGAGCTGGGAGGACACAGCAGGACAGGTGACCCTGACCAAAGGGATATTCCAGACCATCTGACATCAGCTCAGGATATCATGTGGGGAAAGAAGGAGGAAGGGGGATGCTTGGAGTGATGTTTTTTGTCCTCCCAGGTCACTGTTGCAAGGGTGGGGCCCTGCTCTCATGAACAGCTGCTCAACCATGGGAAGCAGGGAATGAATTCCCTGTTTTGTGTGTGTTGTGGCTTTGGCTTTCCCTATTAAACTGTATCTCAACCCACAGGTCTTTTTCTACCTTTTACCCTTCTGATTCTCTCCCCTTTGGTGGGGGAGTGAGCCAGGGGCTGTGAGGGGCTTGGTGACTGGCTGGGGTTAAACCACTGAAACACAGAGAGGTTTGGTTTGGAAGAGAACTCAAAGTCATCCAGTGCCACTCCCTGCCATGGACAGGGACACTTTCCACTATTCCCAGGCTGCTCCAAACCTTGTCCAACCTGGCCCTGGACCCTGCCAGGAGTGGGGTGAGACACCACACTGCAATATCCATAGAGACTCCAAGAAAAACACCAGAAACATAGCATAAGAAGAAAAGAGGAGCAGTGCTGATACAATGACTCCCCTGGAGAAGGCTGGGAAAAAAGCAGACAGTATCTCCTTTGTATCTTTTCTATTTCCTTGAAAATCCCTGGGAAAGCTGCTGGCACAGCCCCAGGGGGGTCCCACCGAGCTCCCAGGGACTCCGTGAGTGCATCCCACTGGAACAGGATTTATGGAGCTGAAGGGCAGAGCAGCTCCAGCCTGAGCTGCCAGCCTGGCCCTGCTCTGGACACATCAGAGCTTCGTGGCAGCGATGCCCAGGAAAAGCCAGGCTTTGACAGCTGCTGGCAGAGTGCCCAGCCCCACAAATACGAGTTCATTCTCCTCAAAAGGCACACAGGGTGCCCCTAACCCACACCCAGAATCACTGGCCTGGGACATGGTAAGTCTGGACTACAGGGGATCTGCCTGGTGCAGTGTCCAGTGGCAGCACAGAGGGCACAGAGGGATGGGAACCAGAGCTGAATTCCTCCAGCCTCCTCCCAGGCTGTGACAGAGCAGCTGGAGGGAAAGGACATCCCACAAGCTGCCAAACCTCTTCCCAAAATGCAGGAAAACTCTCTCACTCTGTGAGAACTCTCTTCACTCACACTGTGACAAGGGACTGAGCCCAAAATCCATCACCTTGGGCGTGTCTGGGGTTTAAAGAGAGACTGGAATTTCGGCAGGAGATTCCAGAGGAGCCTTACGTTGTCACGGATGTTGATGTCCGAGCCCTTGGCCAGCAGCAGCTTCACCAGCTCGATGTGCTTGTACTCCGTGGCCCAGATCATCGGCGTCCAGCCACCGTCATCCTGGGCAGGGACAGCAAGGGGTGACACAGGGGACAGACACAGCCTCCTGCTGCCCTCCCCTGTCTCTCCTCCTTCCCCTTCTGCTGCAGGTCCTGCAGAGCCCAGCGTGACTGGGAGCAGCACGCCTGAGCCAGCTGGAGTTTATTCCAGCCCAGCAGGCTGGCTCTGCATCCCCAGCTTGTTCAAGCTGTCCAGAAAGCACAAAGAACACCCAGGGTGTGTAAAAGGCCTTGGAGAAACTCCCTGAGAAGCCTGGGGGACCTGCCCTTGCCCCAGGCGCAGCTCTGTCTCACCCCAGGGCAATGGGCAAACCCCACAAGGGCCAGGCTCAGCCCATCCCACACCATTGCCCGTGATCCCCTCACCAGGAAAAGCACAGGGACACCCTGGAGCAACAGGCTCTACAAGGAGAAACTGCAAATCTGCTGAGGGAGTCCCTGAGCTGGGCAAAGCAGCTCCTGGGCCAGGGAAGGTCTCACCTGGCAGTTGACATCCATCTTCCCGTTGGAGAGCAGGTACTGCACCACGTCATAGTGCCCCTTCTTGGCTGCCAAGTGCAGACACGTGGAGCCCTCGGCATCCTGCACACAACCACAGAACAAAGCCTCAGCCATGCTCAGGAACAGCAGAGAAGCTCCCAGATGGAGCAGAGGACTCCAAAAGTCTCCACCCCACTGCCAGGAGCCTGTTGGGAGGCCAGGGCAAGGACAATTAGCAGAGGAAGGATGTGGGAGTAGAGATGTAATGACAAGATTTATTTTCCCTGAAATTAAGCCATATTAAGCAGGGGTGGAAAAAAGAATAAAAAATAAGAAATAAAACCAGGAAAGAAGGCAGTGCAAGTCCTGCAAGAGCAGGAGCCAGGGCCAGCACTAAGCAGAGCTTGGGAGCTTCACACCAAAGAGGTGCCACCTGCACAGAGAAGGAGGCTGAGAGTGCAAAGGGCTTTGCAAAGCCTGGGGAAGGTACCAGCCCCAAACCTTGGCAGTGATGCTCCCTTCTCCAACCTTCTCTCTGTGTGCTGGAGAGCCAAAGGGAAGCAGAAATCCCTTACACAGACAAAGTTTGCACTTTACACCAGGAAAATTGCTTTGTCTCAACTTGAAATGCTCCATTTCTCAATTTTTATTTTTTTTCTGGATTTTGTTAGGCCCAGCACCTGGCAGCAGGGCCCAGGGGTGTGGTGTCTCTCTCCAGAGAGATCAGGCCCCCAGCCTGCCCACAGCCATCTGCCCAGACAGGAGATAAAAACAACCCCAAGGTTGAAAGGAAAAATGCCTTTGGGAGCTGGGAATACAAGGCCTGGAGGAGATGGACAGGCTGTGAGTCACGATGGAGATGCTCCCACCCTCACACCAAAGATCTCTCTGGCTGCAGCCTGATTTTTTTCAGGCATTTATATCCCAAGAGCTGAGCACAGAGCAAGGCCCAGAGAGCAGGAAATCAGGAGGAGGAAGCGAAAAGCTGAAAACCAAACGACTCCTTCCAGCTAAATCCCTGGAAGCAATGCTGGAGGTGAGAGGTTTGGGATGGAGCTGATGTGATGCAGGGTGAGGAAGCAACTCTCTGAGCAAGGAGGGGACATCTCAGGTCAGGAATAGCACCATGAGGGCTCCTTGGGACACAGAAAAAGCTCCATGAGGGACACAGAAAAAGCTTCTCCACCCCCGTAAGTGCCTGCTCCAGCTGAATAATTCCACAGCCTTCCCCTTGGATTGGTAAGAAGCAAGTGCAGCTCCTCAGCCCTGGGAGAGCAGGGAGATCTTATTGTAAAGTTTCTTCTGGTTTTGAGTGGGGCTTTTCTATCTTGGTAACAGGACCATCATCTTCACCCTGGGGGCTGGGGAGCCTCCGTCCTGCAGTGCCAGGGCTCTGCACACACCTGGCCCAGGTAAGGGCTGCATTTCCCAGCTGCTTCCAAACCAGTGCTGCTGCTTTCAAACAGAGGCCTGAGTTGGTGCAAGAAGCTAATTAATGTAATAAACTAGCTTAGAGCTCAGATGTGATCTGAGGCTCCTGATTTGCTTTTGGAAGCTCAGAATTTATCTCCTTCCTTTGACCTTCAGAGGCACCAACTCCCCCTCTTTTTTTTTCCACAAGAATAAATCAGGTGAGGGATGTCTGGGCTGCCCCAAGATGAACCCACATGTGCCTGTCCTGTCCTTTTCCCCTTCCCAGCTCAGAACCAACCTCCCAAGGATGCATTTAGGGTCTGGATTGGGCAGCACCTGATACCTTGTGTTGCCAGTTCCTTCCCAAACCCAGCCAAGAGCAGCAGGTTGTGACAATGAGTTCGCACGGGGAGGGTTCCTGTGCTCCAAATAGCATCTGATTTATGGTACTAATAAATGATCTGTGTATTTTCCAAGATGGCAAAGCAACCAGAGCATGCTAAAGGCAAAGAGACAGCTGCATTTTATTGTTTTGATTTAAATTAAGGGGTAGAGTTTAAAGATGGGGTTCGATTTTGCCACTGCAGCATGACTGCAAGAATCCACACACCAGTCCTTTGGAAAGGAAAGCTTCCTCTGTCATTTTTCCTGGCTTGGCAAGCACCTAATTACCAGCCCATTTTAAAACATCACCCCAAAACTATCATTATAGAGAGTTTATTAAAAATCATTATTACTCTGTAGAGACAGAGAAGGGAACTCAGAAATCCAATTCCACTGCGACGGATTTGTGACACTAAGAATTATAAAATCAAATCTCCCTGACATTTGGTGCCACAACCTAAAGGGACAAGTGACAACATTTGCCCCAAACAGCTCATGGCCAGCAGAAAAATGAGATTATGACACCTCCAGCCTTTACCCCAAGACCAACCAGTCCATTTCTCCTCAACATGGGCACTTCCACCCAAAACTTCGAGGTAGAAATGTTGGACAGAGGCTTCCTCAGGAGAAAAAGGTAAGGAATAAACTGCTACCTTGGGATCTACTAGTGCTCCAGCCTTGATCAGGTATTTCACAGTTTCCAGGTGGTTGTTTTCTGCTGCTTCCATCAGCGGGGTCCTCTGGTCCTCGGAGCAGGTGTCAATGTTAGCACCAGCCTGTTGGGAGGCCAGGGCAAGGACAAGGACAATTAGCAGAGGAAGGACGTGGGAGTAGAAATTTAATAACAAGATTTAATACCAAAATTTAGCCATATCAAGCAGGAAAAAAAAAAAAATAAAAGAAGAAAAAAGAAGAAATAAACCCAGGAAAGAAGGCAGTGCAAATCCACCTGCTCTGGAAATAGTACACGCTGCCTGCCCCCTCTCCTGCCTTCCCCAGCCAGGAAGGAACTGTAAGGAAGCCAACAGCTGGTATTAAATAACTCCTGTTATTAATAGATTTTGTACTCCTACTTTCTAGATATTGTTTGTGTAACAATTTGGAAAAGTCAGCCCCCTCCTTTTTCCAGCAGCTTTGTTTTCCCTGGTCTATCATTTAAGCTACAACAACCAGCTCTTCTCAATGTCACAAGCAGTAGGAACAACCCCCTGATTGCAACAGAGGCAGGAGCTGCAGAAAATATCCTGGGGATTGGCTAAATATTCCTGTGGAAGTCAATGGCACCACTTCCACAGAGGTCTCTGAGCTTCTGTTCAGCTCAGCCTCACTCTTTTCCAAACCATGGCTGTGTCAGGTTATCCTGCCCGCTTTAGCCCTTGGGCTGAGCTCAGGAACCACCCAAAACTTCAACCCAGAATGTCTCAGACACAGCTCTTGGCAGGTGTGTGTGTGTGTGTGAGGCTCAGACCTGTCCACAGCAGCTGACTCAGGTTCACCTGGCACAAGGAGCTGTTTTCAGGTGCCTCCCACTGAATTCCTCTCTTTTGACTCTTTTTTCCCCAGCCAGAGCTATTTAAACCAGAGCAGAGGAGAGGCATCTCCAGGCATTTCAAGTGGAACAAGCTGGGGCCATTCCCAGCCAAAGACTGGGCTGCTGCAGAAGCCAGACCTCAGGGAGAGACAAGATGAAGCACTTTGGAAACAAACCAAGTCTACTGATAATTAAATTGTTTGTAATATCTCACAAGTTTTACTCCTTTTCCTCATTCCACTGTCTTCACATGCAGTAATTTCAGGGAGAGCAGCCAGGAAAGCCCATTGCTGCCTTCAAACAGTACCTGAAAGCCTCCAATTCCAGCTGCTGAAATGCACCACCCAGGATCTTTTCCAAGGGCCAGTCTCTGCTGCCTTCTCAACAGCCCTTTAAGGTTTCCCAATCCCACAGGGTAAGCAAAACACACTTCCAGTCACTCCAGACCAAGTACACCGGTAATAAATAAAGAAAAAACTACAATTTCTTTCATCCTTCTTTTTCTTCTTCACATCATTGTGGAGCAGGCTCAACAACATCCCTATGCCTTTGACCATTCTTCCCTCAGCTAGAATCCAAATCTCAGACCACAAACCAAACTTGCACCTTCCCTTCACTCCTTGTCACATGTGAGACATTTATGCTGCAGAGGAAAATCCTGCTGGAGCTCCTCAGGCTTTGACAGAAGGGAAGACAGGGCCTTCATCACCAAGAGCAACCTGGCTTGGAGATCAAATCCAAGCACATCTGGCACATCTGGCACATCTGGCAGTGCCCAGCTCTGGCTGTGCTTAGGCACAGATCCCCACCTGCCCCACAGTGCCCTGCACCAAATCTTCCCCTGCTCCTTGCCTGGGGAACAGCCCAGCAGGAAAATTCCAGCTGTGCCCTCCAAGCCCTCCCGTTCCTCTGCCCCACTCCTCCCTCAGCAAACCCTGGGGTGGAGGAGGTTTTTTACAGGAGGGATTTTTCCACTGCAGATTTCCAGGTGGGGCAGACCAAAGCCCACAGCAAATGGTTTGTACAGAGGGCTGGAAGTGCAGACAGACCTGAATGAGCATATGGCAGATGTCCACGTGGCCAGACTCGGCGGCAGCATGGAGAGGGGTTCTCTTACTCTGGTGCTCCATTTTAAAATTAGGGTCAATTCCATCCACTGCAAAACAGAGCAGAGACACTTTCAACCACGGTTCAGAGACTGAAGTGTAACAGGAGAATCGTGTCTCAGCTAAAGGCTTTTAAAGGATGGGTTCCCATCCTCAGCCCTGCTCTTGTCTCACTGCACATTTCACCAGAAAGCTCTCAGGGCAGTCCCCCTGCACATTCAATATGCTGCAGCCCTCAAACCCAGAGCTACAAACACCACAGGATTCAAAACCTTTTTAAGGCATTACTGTCTCTCCAGAGGCCACATCCCTCAGCTGCACAACTCATCTCAAAAACAACAAACACCACACAAGGATTAAAAAAAAGGAAAAAAACACTGTTTGGTTTAAAGCAACCCAGAAATTGGGAACAGCAAAGAGTTGGTACCACCTGGCCTCTGTCTCACCACTGTTAACTGCAATTAATGTCAGTGATCCTTGTGGCACCCCTGCAAATACAGAGCTGCAACATGGATGGAATTTCTCCACACAGCCTCAGGATCTGGCCAGAGATTCTCACAGCTGTGCAGAGACTGACAGATGATGCTGACAGCCAGACAAAGATGTCTGGGCATGATAACATGTTGTGTATGATGAGGCCATAGTTAAATATCAATGAATAACATTTCTGTGCTATTGAAGACAGGAACAATGGAGCAAACACTTGCTAGACAAAAAAAAAAAAAAAGAAGGAACTGATAAAGGGCAAGAACAGAAAGCATCCAAAAATGTACAGCAAAGTACTGGAGTGGAAAGGAAGCATCCTGAGGAAACATTGTGTCCTTTGGAGGAGGAAATTCCTGGGGAATATTGGATACTAAAAACAAGCTCAGCAGCTCAGAGGCACCTGGTGATAGGCAACTCTGTACCCCAAAAGAAACCCCACGGATTGAAGGCTCTTCCTTTTTGCTTTCTTGCTGATGGGTGTTGTCTTAAGCTGACTCCCATCTTTTCCCTCTCCACGGGATGCAAATATCTCCTCCACACACGGAGAGGGGACAGGAAAAACCACATGGAGGTCATTTTGGGGACACAGCCTGGATAAAACCTCGCTCAAATGCAGACACAAGTGGGGAACAGTGCACATTTCCCAGAGAGATGAAGCCTTTTCCAGTGACACACCACAGAGGAGTCTCTCTGCTCCCGGGGGCACTGGGAAGATGACGCAGTGCCGTGCTGGGAAGTGCTGGGAGTGCTGCCAGAGGGGCCCTGGCCTGGGAAGGAGGCACCTACCCAACATCAGCAGGACCTTCTGCAGCTCCCCTTGCCTGGCAGAGAAGTACAGCTGCTTCGGGTGGAACCGCAGCTTCTTGGGCCTGCAGGAGCGGGGAGAGAGAACCCAGGGATGAGCAGCCAGGAATGTCACAGGAATGTCACCCCAATGCCACCCCCGGGCCTGACAGACATCTGGGCTCATCCCCCAGCGTGGGCAGCAGCAGGGCAGGGGGAGTTCTGCCCCTCTGTCCCACTCAGGTGAGACCCCACCTGCAGAGCTGCCTGCAAATCTGGGATCCCCAACAGGAGGAGTGAATCCAGAGGAGGCCATGGAGATAATCCCAGGGCTGGAGCCCCTCTGCCCTGGAGCCAGGCTGGGAGAGCTGGGGGTGCTCACCCAGAGGAAAGAAGGCTCCAGGGAGAGCTCAGAGCCTGTTCCAGAGCCTAAAGGGGCTCCAATAAAGCTGGAAAGGGACTTGGGACAAGGGATTGAGGGACAGGACACAGGGAATGGCTTCAAACTGAAAGACAGGAAATTCAGGATTAAATATATGAAAGAAATCCTTCCCTGGCAGGGTGGGCAGGCCCTGGCACAGGGTGCCCAGAGCAGCTGGGGCTGCCCCTGGATCCCTGGCAGTGCCCAAGGCCAGGCTGGACAGAGCTGGAGAAGCCTGGGACAGAGGAAGGTGTCCCTGCCCATGGCAGGGGTGGCACTGCATGGGTTTTAATGCCAGTTCCAGCCCAAACCTTCTGTGATTCTCTGCTCCAGAAAAACAAGTCTCCAGGAGGAGGTTTTAAAACTTCCATCCAGCTCCAGCCAGTCCTGTTCCAGTGAGGGCTGGATCTGCTCAGTGCTGCTCAACAACAGGTTCTAGGTCTCACTGCTGTGAACAGGAGCTCCCAGAAGTTACAGCTGCAGCTGAAGAGCCAGTGAAAAACTAAATCCTCCAGAGAAATCAATAAAACATTTAGAGCTGTAACAGTTCTCCCAAATCTGTTGGGGATGACTAATGAGTGAAGTGAACAAAAAAAGCTCTGAGTTGGACCAAAATCCAGAAAACCTAAACCTCATTTTCTCTAGGCTTGAGCAACTTTGCTGGGAACTGGAGTGACCCAATGGTCCTTTTCTTACTTTTCAGAGTCCAGGGCAATCAGGGCACTTTCCAGAGTTTCTTTCACTGGTCCCTGGGTCAAGCTAGTAGTAGGCTTTGGAAAAACTGAAGACCCAGCGATGTCAAAGCCTTCAGCAGCCGAACTTTCTGGCTTGTCTTCCTCTGACAACCTCGTCCCAGTGCCACTGAAGAGGAAAAATGAGAGACAGCCAAATCACAACCATTAAAATATACAACAATGTCTCTCGTGCCAAAAAAGGGAAAGCAAATGCATTTTAAATACAGATAAGTGTAACTGAAATCGAAACCCAAACCAATTTATTTTACAGCTTTTTCGGTAAGAACTTGTCCCAGAAAGGAATTGCACTGCCCTCTGACTACATCTTGAAGTTCTCTGTGCTACAGGAGACCCAGGCACATGGGGCAAGTCTTAAAGCCACCCAGACAAGGCCAGATGGGATGGGAATTCAGAGCCCAGCTCAGCACAGGGCTGCTTTGATTTGTGTTTTCCTGCTCCGTTTGCACTTGTGGGTGCCAGTCAGGAGCTGCAGATGGGAATCACTGTCCCTTAGCAAACCTGGCAGCATCAGCTAATTCCACTGTTAATCCATTCCTAACAATAAGAGAGAGGAATGGTTTCATTCCTGAACCTCCAGAGCCTCTCCCTCAGCTCTGGGGCAGCTCTGGGACAGAACACCCCTGCATTCCCACAGCTGAGCCAGCCTGGGTTCAGGAGGAGCCCAAACCAAAGCCTGTTCCGGGCAGGAGCTTTGAGATCCCCCCTGTGCTCACCTCCCCGTGGTGGTGTCGGCCCTGCCCTCCAGAGCCGCGGGTTTCTGCTGCTCGTAGCTCAGGGACACCGTGGAGGTGGTGTCAGCCTTGGCTATCGTCACCTCCTTGGCCTTGGAGGCCTCCTCCCCGCAGTGAGGGCAGTAGCTGGTGTCGTTCACCTGCGAGGCACAGCTCTTGTGGAAGCGGTGGGAGATGCTGCTCTCGGGCTGACACTCCATGAAAGTGCCCTTAAAAAACCACAGAGAAGGAATTCAGCCCCGGCTCGGCCCGTGCCTCGCCCCTTCACACGCTCCATGCCACTCCTCTCACCACCTCTCTCGGCCCTGCTGCGTCCAGTACAGTAAAGCAAGCACTGCCACTTCTTTAGAAGAGAACAAAACCAAGGTAAAGGGGGAAAAACTCACTTGGTTAAGGACTGCAAAGCAAGATTTTGAACTGTGCTTGGGAAACAGAACAAACAAGTCCCGATTTCCAGCTCTTCCCTCTAACGCTTGAAGTTCTCGCTTCTGTCTCTAGAAGTGCCAGTGCACTGTAAGGACGCCCCCACAACTGGAAAAGAAAACTTCAGACCTGTGCTGAGCCAGCATTAAAGCTACCTGAAACACAGCTGTACACAAACCATTCAAGAACCTGCATGAATCTGTCACTGACCCCACTCTAACTCAAATTATGTGACTCTTCTGCCTGGACCAGCCTAATTAACCCAAACAAACTGATTGCTCATGCAACAAACTGCACAGTTCCTCTTCAAATTATTCTCCCTTTCTAGCAAAGTCCCTGCAGCTGCTGTGCAGGACCCCAGAACTCCCTGCCTGTGGTGTCAGTGCTGCCTGAAGCTCTGCTGTGCTCTGGATGGCACAGACAAACACCCCAGGTTCACCTCTGTGCACCAGCACACAGCACTGAGAGATGGAAGAGAGTGCAAGGAAAGGCCAGTCAAACCCCCTCTTCTCCTGAGTTCAGTCCTCCCAGGCCATCTAATTAACTCTATTTCAGCTTTGCAAAATGCCTTGAAGGGTTTTGAGGATTTTATCTTCTAAATGATCTTTGACTCAGCAAGAAAACCCAGGATAGCTCCATTTGCTACAATAATGCTTGAGACTACTGCAGCATCTTCCCTTGAGTCATCTTGGAAAATACCAGTGTCACACACAACTAAGCCTCATCATCACTCCTGAGGCCTCAGGTGCTGCCTTTCAGCTTTATCCACAGGGAAAGCAGGACACTGACCACTAAAGGACTGCACCAAGTCCCTTCAAAGCCTCGGTGGCAAAGGTGGAAGAAGCAACAGGTCACAGAGTGGTTTGAGCTGGAAGGGATCTTAAATCTCATCTGGTTCCACCCCCCTGCCATGGCAGGGACACCTTCCACTGTCCCAGGGTGATCCAAGCCCTGTCCAGCCTGGCCTTGGGCACTGCCAGGGATCCAGGGGCAGCCCCAGCTGCTCTGGGCACCCTGTGCCAGGGCCTGCCCACCCTGCCAGGGAAGGATTTCTTCCTAATTTTTAATCTTCCTAATAACTAACCTAATTGAGATCTCCAGCACTGCCTTGCTCCAGTGCCATCACTCAGGTTCCCCAGCCTGAGGGGACACAGAGGTGGGGGCACAGGTTCATTTACAAACCAAGCTATGACATTTTTTGGATGTGATTGATCTGTGTACACAGAAAGAAAAACAACAAACCCTCGATCCAAAGAAATTCCAAAGGCAAGACTTCCAGCATGTGAAATCCCTTTGGCAACACCCCCTGGGGGTCTCCGGGAAGATAAAGGTGATGATTTCAGCTACCCTCAGACACATTCCTATTGAAAACACCTCCTGATGTGCTGTGGAACGAGGTGGGGCTGATGCCAGGAAGTCAGGGAAACCCCTTTAGGGATCATCTCCACCTTCAGCTTCCAGCTATTGCAACAGGTACCCCCTTCCCTAGATCGAGAGCACGGACTTACTGCAGTGCAAAAGTATCCACAGCCAGGGCAACACTGGTGTTTCACCATCCTCCCTCTATGGTCCTCACACAGCACCAAAAGCTGGACTTTGTTAGACGGGCGCATCAGTTCATACTTAACCACACTGTTTGTGCATCGGCCCAGCTGGAACAGGAGAAATTAAAGGAAATGAAATTACTGGAGACCACAACACTCCCTGTGCTTGTGCAGAGGAAGGTTTTGCACATTGCCTCGAGGAGCCCTGGCTTTTTCACAGGAATTCAGCTGTGTGCCAGAGAGCATTAGCAGTGCAGCAGGAAGCTGTGAAAGCTGCTCTCAGGAAGGAATGCATCATTTACTAACTAACATGCACGTGCACCCCGAGTCATTTGTTCCTTGCAACGACAACGAAATCATAACTGGAAATAGGCAACAGCCAAGCAGCAGAAGGGGCAGTCCCAGGGGCCTGACTCACATAACACACACTCTCCTCTTGCCAGGAAGAGCGGGTGTCAGTGACCAAGAGAACGAGACCATACGCGCTAAATCTTGTTACTGCTCAAAACTCCGAGTCACAGGAAGATAAAGGGAAAAATAATTGCTCCTCATTGCCAGGGAAGTTATCGTCTGTACTGGTTCCAGCACTGGCCCCTGCCCAGACCACAGGGATGGAGAGCCAGGCTTTCATGAGAGCTCAGCTAAAGTCATGTTTGGAGCAGGTTTTCCAAAGGATTTCACCAATCTACGGCTCTGGGCTTAAAAATCAAGAGAATCGCAGAATCATGGAATGGTTTGGGTTGGAGGGACCTCAAAGCTTATCCACTTCCACCCCCTGCCATGGGCAGGGACACCTTCCACTATCCCAGGTTGTTTCAGCCTGGCCTTGGACATTTCTAGGGATCCAGGGGCAGCCCCAGCTGCTCTGGGCACCCTGTGCCAGGGGCTGCCCACCCTGCCAGGGAACAATTCCTGCCCAATCTTCACCTGTCCTCCTTCAGCTTAAAGCCATTTTTCCTATCACTCCTTCTCATGCTCCACCTTGTCCTGTTTCTGGCAGCAGGTTCCATAATTGGGGTTCCCTGCTCCCAGCCAGTGTTCCTTGCTCTGCTGCACCAGGAGGGATCAGCACCTCCTAAAGCCACCACACTGTCCCAGCCCAGCTGTCACCTGCCAGCGTGACACGACACTCTTTGGGTCCTGTTTCAAGTTCCCCTTGGTAATAATCTTGCTTTCCCCAAATACCTGGCAAAGGAGATTTATAAACTAGGAATATAAAGGTGAAAGGCTGCTCCAAGGAAGGGTCTCTTGGAAGGAAGGTGAAGAATTGATTGTCCTCATGACAGAGTCAGTCAGGGACTCAAACTGTCAGTGCCACAAACTGTCCCTCTGTTCCAGCCAAGGATTTGCCACTTTTTCTCAACAAAACTAAACTTTCTCTCCTATTGTTTAAAATTCCACTGCTGCAGAAGCAACGTCCCTGTGGGAATAGAGAATGGATTTTAACCTAGGCTCATCATTCATCTCCAATTCAGCTTTCCCAAATTCCAGCTGCAAAGACTTCCTGTGGTTGGGACACCTTGGCCAGACTGGTCCCTGTCACCACCCGACCCCAGGGGCTGCAGGGGTGGCACAAGAGGACCAAGGATCTTCTCCTGAGGAGGAATTTTACTGAGCTGAGGAAATCCCATTGACACGTGGAAAGTTGCATCAGCTGTGTGAGGAAGACCCTGCACTGTTATGCCACACTTTATTATTTGTTAGAAACTCTAAAAGAAGCTCAGCATGATTAATTGCTATTTTCCAACCATTAGAGAGTGCAGCAGGGTGCTCATAACTATTTATAACACTCTCCAAGGACAGGACAGTCTGGAGAAGCCACTATTCACACATATAATTCCTCTAACATCTCTGAGTCACTTATTCCATTTTTAAAAAGAATCTAACATAAAGTATGGCCTTTGCTATTCCTCCCTGTGATTTACCCAGGGACAGAACTGTCAACTCACCATAGCCAGGAGCAGGAATTCTTTCACACACCCTGTGTTTGTTTAGAAACCCTGGGGTCCCCCTCTCTCTGATGAGTCTCCCAGGACATTTTCTCCTTAATGAATCAATTTTGCCATTCTTTGGAAATTCCTCTCTCTACAGGTACCAGCACATACTAACAGAGGCAGAGCTGGTCTACAAACCTGATTATCCCCTTGTCCCTCCATCCACCCTTCTCCTGGGATCCCAGAGGAGAGCTAGGGATATTCTCACTCCCAGCATGAGTGAGGCTGAAGCTGAGAAGAAACCCGAGTGTCTCCCAGTAAAAGGAGAATCCACCAAGAGCATTCCTGTCCTGCAGTTCTCACTTCCCAGATTTTGGAATGGAGTCACTTCTGCCGCTTCCTTCCACACTTCTGGAACCAGCAGAGCCCAACCAGCCCAGCTGTGACCGAGGGCATGGAGTGCAATCCCTGTCAGGCAGTCAGACCTGGGGCTGCAGAGCTGCTGGGACATGGAAGCTTTGGGACAGAAAGAGAGGAGGAGAGAAGAAGGCTGGGGCAGCAGAGGCCATGCCAAGCTCCTGAACTCAACACCTGGCCACAGAAAGGTTTGCAGCAGTTCTTTCGTAGTCAAGGGAAACCAGCTCCAATCCTTGACGGGATTTCTCCCTCTGGTGCAGGTTCCTGTATTTGAGCCCATTTGGCCTGAAGTGTGAATGCCACATCAACCACATCCAGCCACACAGGCCAGGACAGGCCCACGAGACCCACCCAGAGCCTCTCCCAGTGCAGACACAGCACCTGCTCCCTTCCCAGTGGCCTGATCCCAGTGCTGTGACAGGCACAGAGTGCTGGAGCCCCCGGCTGAGCGAGGGGGACACCGGCCCTGCCATTCCTCACACCAGTGGGTCCCAGTCTAGCAGAGCCCCTGCGTGACCCCACACGTGCTCCTGGCACAGCTTTTCACTCTTTCTGGCCTTGTCCTCAGCAGGAAAGGCTGTGGGAAGCTAAAGGACAGGCTCCTACCTCGTTATCCACGCTCTCCGTGGCCATGCACTGGTTGTTGGCTAACGTGGTGATCTCTCTGCTTTTGGGGGTTTCCATTCGACAGCTACACAGGGGAACCTCCTGGAGACCATCTTCCATTGCTTCAGGGCCATTGGAGAGACCTGGGGCATGGAAAAACAGTGAATTAACTTGAGTTCTCTTCCAGGAGAAAGGATTCAGTCCATCAACACCAGCCACGTCTTGAAATGCTCTCCAGGCTTTAGCACCACCCTGTAAAAGACCCTTTTACACCAGCTGGAGTTTGCAAAAGCCTCCTGTACTTTTCCAAGTCCAGCCACACTCAGCTGACTGTGCTGAAATCAAGAGTGATAAGTTAAGATCAGTTTATTCTGAGAAAAACCTCAAAAAGGCAAAGCAATGAGGTACAGATTTTTATCAGCCTCTCTCCCCTCCCCACAACACTGGGATCTGGCACCAGGAAATTTGGAGGAAACCACCCAGAGCTGGATATATGAACAGGCAGTGGAGTGATAAATAGAGATGATCAAGAAAGCACAAACTCCTATTTGCAAAGGCTTATTACACAGATGGGAAAACAAAATTCCTGGGACTGTTTGGTGTCAGCCAAGAATTATTTATTTTGGAAAGAGAATAAACCAGGGAAAAGAAAGCAGCAAGATGCTCCAATGTTCTTGTTCCTCATGTGATCTCAGATACTGAACATTTACAAACCTATGGAAAGGTGGTTGAGGGCTTTTGAGGGGAGTCACTGTGGGAATATTCCTGTGGCTCCTCTGGACTGAAATCTATCACTGGGTTACCCAAGATTGCCAAACACTGGCCTTGTGACAATGGGGTTGATGCTAATCCTACCCTGCTCTTCCAGTCCTGCACCAAACCATCTCTGCAATGTTTGCAACACAGAATTTTTGGGCTGGTTCACCCTGAAGCATCCCAAGCTTTCCCTACCCACTGCTATGGGATTGACTCACACTGAGAAGGAAGCTTGCTGCTGTTTTCCAAGCTTTTGAATGGGAATGGAGAGTTATCTTGCTGTGAGGTTTTGCAGATTTAATTCATCCCTGGGGGAGATTCCTCTTCAGCTGCCCTGGCAATGGCAGCCTTCCCCCAGAGCACCCTGCCTGTGGCTCTGACCCCTCCAGCCGAGCACAAGCCCCTCTCATCCCATCAGGAATTCCCAACAAGCTGCAAGGCCAAGCCTAGCAAAGGGATATTTCAAGACACACAAGGCCAGGGAAAGTCCTCGCCATTTCCATGTAAAATCCCATCAAGATCTTAAAGGTTTCAGAGTTTTCTCTGGGAGCACAAATCACAAAGCTCATTCCTCGCCTTCTGTGCTGTCACTTCCCTAATCTGTTTGACATCCAGAGGCTCTGGTGAAAGCATCCCTCATCCCTCCTGACCCTCCCTTGGTGGGGAAAGCTCCCACCCTCTCTTTGATGTGCCTCTATCAAAGGAGACACACAACCTTTGAGGCAGCAGTGGGGATGGATCCAGCCAGGGGATGGATCAGAGGAGAGCTCAGCACTGGGAGCAGCAGCTGGGGCTCAGCACCCAGGGCCCAGCACCAGTCCCTCCTCCTCCCAGGGCTGAATGAGCCCTTCCTGAGGGGACAGCAGCAGCAATTCCAGAGGGATGCTGAATCAGCACATTTTAGGGTGTGGAGGGGAGCTGCTGAGTGGGACAGGAGGGCTGGGGCAGTACCTTGCACCCTTGGTGAGAGTATTCCCGAGCTAACGCGCCTCACTGGAACTGGGATCCCACCTACAGCCTCATTCCATCCCAGCACTCTCCTTATCCTCACCCACATGCCCAGCCTCACTCCCATTCCAAATCCATCCCCATTTCTATCCCAACCCCATACCCATCCTCATGCTCACCCCCAGCCCAGCCCCATTCCCATCTCCTCCTCACCCTCAGCCCCATTCCCATTCCTATTCCAGACCTATCTCTATCTTCATCCCAACCAGTCCAGTCCCCATCATCATCCTCTTTCCCATCTCAGACACATGCCTATCTCATCCTCATCCTTCCTACCCTCATGCTCATGCCCAACGCAGCCCCTTATCTATCCCCATCCCAGGGTGATCCAATCCCAATCCCAATCCCATCCCATTCCATGCCATCCCAATCCCATCCCATGGATCCCATCCCATTCCCATTCCCATCCCATTCCCATTCCCGTTGCTCCGTGTGCTCTGCAGCCACCAGGGGGCAGCCGGGGCCTCGCACGGCACCACCGGTGGAACAAAGGGACCCCAAACCCGGCCCCAAACCTGACCCCAAATCCAACCCCGACCCCAAACCTGACCCCAAATCCAACCCCGACCCCAAACCTGACCCCAAATCCAACCCCGACCCCAAACCTGACCCCAAATCCAACCCCGACCCCAAACCTGACCCCAAATCCAACCCCGACCCCAAACCTGACCCCAAATCCAAACCCGACCCCAAACTTGACCCCAAATCCAAACCCAACCCCAAACCTGACCCCCAAACACAGTCCTGACCCCAAACCTGGCCACAGTCCTGGCCCCACACTCAAATTCAAATTAGACTCCAAACCCAGACACAAGACCAGCCCTGACCCCAACCCCAGCCCCAGCCCCAGCCCCAGCACTCACCTCCCACTGGTGAGGAGAGGATCCCCTTCACCCGGAGATCCAGGGAATCCAGGGACACCTCCATGTACTCCATGCTGTTCTCCTGGCCGGGGCCCTCCCTGCTGCCCAGTGAGGGTTTGTAGGTCTCAGCACCTGGATGGGAACAGGGGATGTGCACAGACCCCACAGGCAGAGGCACCCCGAGCCAGGCCAGGGATCCCTGTGGGATCCACGAGCACAGAGCTCACGGAATGTGCCAACACCACATGGTCTGGGCACTGAGCTTCCACCTCCACCCAGGCAGGGAACAAGAGAAGGGAATAAACGAGATGAGTTCCACCTCTGCAAGGGCACAAGGAAGGGATGAAGCAGGGCTTGAGCCCGGCTCCCAACCTGCTGCCCTACAGGGCTCGGGTCCACGCTGGCCAGGCAGAGCCAGCTGCACCTCAGGAGGAGGATGGGACAGGTGACATCCAGTTTAGTGGCAGGGGAAACAAAAAAGCCAAGTTCTGCCTCTAAGTGAACAGAGGGAAGATATTGTGGGAGAGTCCTCAGAGCCTGGGAGGGAATTGAGAGCGTCATCACTCCCTTGGCTTCACTTTCTCTCCTGTTTCCTTCTGCCTGGCCTACAGAGTCTGGTTACCCTTTCAGAGCAGCTCCCAGCTTTACTGAAGGGGCAGAAAACCAGTCTGCATCTGAAATGCAGAATTAGGTATTTGCTGTGACAGGGATCAAGGGTCCCCATGGTGTCCTGGGAGGAAGAGGAGGGAGCCAGGTGAGTGACAGAGCCCAGGCACAGAGCAGGGGCTGAAAAATGGTCAATTCACTCAGAAGTACCAAAAAGCTGCTGGTACAAATATGACATTTTTCCATTGAACTAGCAAACCCAGAAGAATAAAAATGAAACCCTTTGGTGGCAGTGGATGTATGAAACCTTAGCAATGAGGCTGAAGACAGCACCCACATTTGAGATGGACCTGAGGCAGCTCCTTCCAAACATCATGGTCATTCCACAAGGAGCAAAGCCAACCTGCACGAGCATCCACACAATGAAGAACCATTCCAGGGTGGTTCTTCCTTTCGCATCTAAACGTGCTCCCTTGAGCTCATGGGACAGGAGTCCACATGGACACACATCACAGGATCCCAGACTGGTTTGGGTTGGAAGGGACCTCAAAGCTCATCCCATTCCAGCCCTGCCATGGCAGGGACACCTCCCACCATCCCAGGCTGCTCCCAGCCCTGTCCAGCCTGGCCTTGGGCACTGCCAGGGATCCAGGGGCAGCCCCAGCTGCTCTGGGCACCCTGTGCCAGGGCCTGCCCACCCTGCCAGGGAACAATTCCTCCTGTATAGATAACATCAACCTCCCATCTTTCAGTCTGAAGCCATTCCCCCTTCTCCTCTATCTCCTCTTCCTCTTCCTCCAAAAGGCCACACTAAACCTTTTTTTTGGTATACCCTAAAATGAAGGGATTTGTGAGCAAAACAGAATTCCTCCAGCATTCCAAGGACAAAGCCAGGTGTTCTACTGCCACAATGACACCAGCAGCTCCTGCCAGGGAGGGAAAAGTTCACCCAGGCTCATCACACAGCCTCGGGAAGGAAGAGTGAGCCCTGCAGACTTGCAGGCCTCAGGTCCATCCCCTGCAGCTGGAGGCTCACTGGGGTGGAATTAAGGAACAAAACCCATTCATTACCTAGCACACCGCCTTGTTTCTTTTTATTCCTCCGCCTCCTCTTGCGGGTGGGCTTCAGCCATGGACTGTCTGTCTTCCCTTTCCTCTTCAGCAGCTTCTTCTTGACGCTGGACTCCGAGCTCTGAGGAAGCAGAGAGGCCACGTGCACGTCAGGCATGGTGGCACCAGGGTCCCTCTGTGGAACAGCCCTCACCCAGCTCGGGTTGTGTGAGAAGAGCCAGGGGTTTGAAACCAAGGGGTGCTAAGATGCCTTTATAGCACAGAAAAGGAAACTCAGGCACACGTGTGGGTGGATTTCCTGTCAGTTCAGCAGGGCAGGCTGCACTTTCTCTTCCACGGAGGCCCCACGCCACGCTCATGAGCGGCACTGCAAGCTGGCAGGGGCGTTCAGACTTCCAGCTTCTCCCAAAAAATAACTGTAGGATCACAGAATATCCTGAGCTGGAAGGGACCCAACAAAGATCACCAGCTCCTGGTGCTGCACAAACACCTCTCGCCCTGTGCCTCAGAGGGTTGTCCCAACGCTTCTTGAACTCTGGCAGTTGGGTTTTTTAACTAAAATATTCGTATTTCTCCACAAAAAAAACCCATTTTGCATTTGAAGAGCCACCTGGCAGGGCTGGAGTGAACCCAGGGGAACTGAACTCCACAGCAGCAGAGCAGCCCCCTCCCTGAGCCAGGCACAGGGCAGCACAGACCAATCATGCAGCAAACACTCAGCCACACGTATCAATCTCAACAGACTTTGGGTTTTGGTTTAAAAAAATTCAGTTGTCTGGGGTGGGGTTTCCAAGTCAACATCAGAAGAGGAATCAGGCACCCCAACCCTGCCAGGGTTTAACGCATCAATCATAAAATTCATATTCAGACTGAAGCTGCCAGCTCCTGATGCTTATCCAGCTGCCAGCAAAGCCTTGGAAAAACCTCCTGGTAGCACCACCAGCAGCTGGATCAGGCCCTACCTCCACGGGCAGCTGTGCCAGGCCCTGCTCTCCCAGTGAGGGAACACGTGGAGCTGAGCCCTGGCTCTCCAGGCTGCCCCAAAACCCCCGAGTGTGGGCTCAGCCTTTTCCCCAGCCCCACAGCCCCTGCTCCTCCCCGGCTCCTGGGCTGTCAGAGCACGGGGAACAAAACCCTAAAGAGCTTCAGTGAGTCACTTGGTGTGTTTGGGGTGCATGATTCCACCTCCAGCTCAAAACATCAAGAATTTTCTCAAGGTGATTGAGGAGTTGGGGTGCCTTAAATGCTGGCTCCCCAACTTGAGGGGCTGTGGAAAGACAGTTTCTAAGGAAAGGGGAGGGAGGCGGACAGGGACAATCAATGAACAATTTAAATTAAAAACTCATCGGTTTCTCTTCACCAACCATCTGAAAATAAAAAGTAGAAATCCCCAGCAGCTGCTGGAAGTCTTGACCTGGTGCTGTACGGCCAAGGTTCCAGGGAGTGTCTGTCTGTCTGTCTGTCTGTCTGAGTGCTACTTGTCTCCCTGGTGGGAGCTGCTCATCAGGAACAGTGGATTTAGGCTGTGGGCTGGGCCAGTGGACCTGGGAACAACCCCACCCCAGCAGAACTTCAGGCTCCTACCCCGTGCCAACTGCACATCTGAGGAACTCAAGCACCCTTAAACACCTCTGCTAACATTCAAATGATTAAAAGCACTCAACACCGTGTTGAAAACAACAAAAGCCCATTAGTTAGCATCAGAAAGCAATTAATTGTGCCACGGATCAGGGTTAAGCACCTTGTGGAAAACAATACTCGCTGTGTGGGCGGTTTCAGAGAATGAATTTTGTCAAGGAGACTTTGCAACTGCACAGCTTTGGCTTTGCTCTATCTCTCTCTTCTGGCAGCAGTGCAAAGGGGAAAAATTATTATCAACAGGCCACGGGCTGAAAAACACGTTTAGCAGCCCAGCTTACCAAGTCAGACTCGTCTCCATCCTCCTCCTCCTCCCCAGATTCTACAGACTCCTGCTCCTCCTCAGACTCGCCGTCATCCATCTGCAGCCACCATTTACCCAAGAACAGAATGGGTCAGTCAGGTTTGGGACCCCAAAACAGCATCCCCCACCATCCTGGGCATCCCAAAACAGAGCATCCCCCCAACCCTGGGCATCCCAAAACAGAGCATCCCCCACCATCCTGCTGTGCCCCACACACATCAGAGCACCCCCAACCCCAAGCTGCATATGCACTGAGCTCAGCGAGTTCCAATCACATCATGGAACATCTGTGGGGATGGTAGAGGGAGAAAAAGAAAAATTCTACTCCAGAATAAAGTTTTCTGACTAAATTTCAACTTCTTTGATAATCACAAACCAGCCTCATGCCTGTACTGTGTATCAAAATTTGGGGAAAAAAAGCACAACAAGATTATTTTAGTGCTTTCCCAAGCAGGATTGGGAAGATGTCTCCTATTGGTTCAGGGAATCCCAGAACTACACATGGGGGGGTTCTGCACAGTGGATCCCAGAATTGTGTAGGGCTGGAACTGGAGGAGGTGGGGAGACCCTCACAGGTACAAGGGGAAGCAGGAAATGGTCACCAAAGAGCCTCTCTGCCATTGATGATCCTTCTGTCATCTTGCAGGTGAACAAAAACCCTAGGAATTGCTTCAGTGCTATCCCTGATACCCCAGCAGAGTCCCTCAGGACACAGGAATCCTGCTCAGGGCACAGGAATCACCTTCCTGGCGTTGTCTGCGTCGGACGCGCTGTCCTTGGAGGTCCTGTTGTCATCCCCAGGGAACACGGCCACCTGATCTGCTCCATGATCATCCTCCTCTTCCAGCTCATCTGAGTCCTCCTCTTCAGAGTCCACATCCAGGCTTTCCCCGTTCACGTGAGGGCTGCCATCCCCCAGCTCCTTGTCACTCTGCAAGTCCCCCAAGCACACAGGACACAAAGACAACATCAGTTCCTGGGACAGAGCAGCTGGATCCGTGCCAGATTCTCCTCTGTGCTCTAAAGCTGGTTCTGTGTCCCTCCAGAGCTCCTGCCATGTGTCACCTCACCCTGTTGGACCCCAGGGACCACAGGGAGTCACTCCAGACTCACGTGGTTGCACGTTAGGGAGGAGAAGCCCATTCCAACATGGAGGGGCAGCTCCACCAGGGATGCAGGAAGGTTTCTAGGGAACGGAAAGGGAAATTACATCACATTGGGATTTTCATATCACTCCTTGAAATCCTAGCACTGTTCTCCTTGAATTCTAAGACCAAAACTTCAGGGCACAAGTCGCAGCAAAAGCAGAATTTAATCAGGAGTGAGTCCATATCTAAACTTTTATAAGTAACCACATGTTTTTCTTTACAGCCTCAAGCAGCAGCACGAGACCTTGAGGACCAAAACAAAAAGGAGAATGCCTGAAATCTCTCCAGTTGTCCAGCTGCACAGAAGGGGAACATTCATTGGAAAAAGTTTGTTTTGGAGCTGGTATCTGGACAGCCAGTCTGGAGCAGTCTGCACCAGGAAGATGCTGCCTGAGGGAAGATGGACACTCAGAAGGGAAGATGTTGATCCCTGCACCTCCACATGGGTTTGGTGTCTAAAAAGAGGGACAAATAAGTGACAACAAACATGTGCAGTGGGCTCAGTGCTGCCCTTACCTTGGCACCCACAGAGGAATGAGTTATGCTCTTAAACATCTCTATCATTGTTCTCTGTTTTAACACTTTGGTCTTTTTCTTGGGAACCAGGCTATAGGTTCCCATTCTCCGTTTTTTCTTCCGAGATACTGCAGCAGCTGGAAAAGAGAAGCAGAAGGAACCCAAAGTTTGCTCAGGAATGAGAAGAAGGGATAGAGACATGGGGCTGCACTGGAGAGGGACTTTGGACAAAGCCTGGAGGGACAGGAGCCAGGGAATGGCTCCCAGTGCCAGAGGGCAGGGCTGGATGGGATCTTGGGCAGGAATTGTTCCCTGGCAGGGTGGGCAGGCCCTGGCACAGGGTGCCCAGAGCAGCTGGGGCTGCCCCTGGATCCCTGGCAGTGCCCAAGGCCAGGCTGGACAGGGCTGGGAGCAGCCTGGGATAGTGGGAGGTGTCCCTGCCATGGCAGGGGTGGGATCTGAAAGGTCCCTTCCAACCCAGACCTTCTGTGATTCTATGAAATCACATCTGAGGGCACAACCTGAGCAAACTTCCCACTCCAACTGATTTATTTTCAAGTCAAGCAGAAGATGACACACACGGATGTGCAGGCACACGAACTCTGCCAGGGCTGCAGAGCTTCCCAAACCCTGAGTGCCCTCTGCACACTCCTTCTGCCCCCCCCATCAGCACACACAGCATCAAATCCTTAAATTATCCTGCATTTGGCAGCTGCTGATGTTGTAGGAGGCTGAATGGAATCCAATTGCTCAAATTGAGACTGCAAGGCCAACAATACCAACTGACAATGGAAGCAATCTGACAATAACCAAAGAACACACAGGGAAAAGGCACCTTACATAAAGAGCTGTTTGTCATTTAACCTCATTTCACACCTACTATGGAAGTCTGTTTGATTCCTTTCACTCCTTTGATTGGGTCTTAATTTGTTAAGTCTCCCTCTTGGCCTTCTAATCAAACCAGACATCACAGCTCCCTGCCTGCTGCTGTCTTTGCTGACTGCACAGCAGAAGGATGCTTGGTGCAGGCTCTTTCAGGAACAGCCAGCTTCAGCACCACTGTTATTGTTTGCACTTGCACAGCCTGTTCCTTGAAAACATTTCTTTTGTCTTCCACATAATGAAATTTCACCAGAATTTATGAAGTGACCACTAAAAAATTCTGTGAACCCAATTAATTTTATTTATAAGGCTGTAATTCTTGGTAAGCAGCTGTGGAGATATTCAAAGCCCTACAGAACTGACAGAAACCTCTTCAGAACACCCCAGAGGAAAAAAGGGATCAAAGTGTCTCCTCTAAGAAAAGCTTTTAGCACAGGCAGGGAAGGGAAACCTGAGTGGCAAAAAGGTACTACCAGAGGTTTTAATCCTTGTTAATCTCCTCATCTCCCTCTCAGCCCCACACACAGGTTTGGGAGGTGGGACTCCAACATTCCAGCCCTCCCCTTTTCACCTGTCTGCGACTTGGTGGTGGCCACATAGCTCTGGTTCTGAGGTAGTGACTGGTGAAGGCCCGGGAGAGAGGGCAACGACAACGGCTTCACAAAGTCCAGCATGTTCTCAAACTCCTTCTCCTTGGATTCCTTCTGATCTCTGATGTCTCTCCCGTCTTTGGGGTCTTTACTTGCATGCTGGAAAATCAAAAGGCAGTTAAATTGAGTTTCTGCATTGAGTCATTTAAAAAAATTAGGATATTTATTTAATTGCTTTCCCTCGACCAAAATCACTTTCAGCTGAAGGCAGGACCACGTTCCCAGCAGGAGCACACAGCCCCTCCTCCAGCATGTCAGGGGGCTTTGCCTAAACCCCAGCCTGGCTGAGGTGAGTCCCCCCTGGGCTGAAGGCTGTGCAGGTGACCTCGCAGAGGTCATGACAAGGAGCAGACCCTGTTCACACAGCTCTGGGTGGCCCTGGAGAGGAGGAACCAACTCAACCAAAGCACCTATTCCCTGGAACACACCCCCAGCACACTCAGCAACGCTCCTGCTGAGCTGTTTTAGAGGAGCAGGCAGCAGAGGAAAGGAATGTTTTCCTTTTGGACACCATTTGGCACCACTGAGCCTCAGCAAAGGCTCCCCCCTCTAGCCCAGCACACAACAAACACAGCCCAAGCAGCTCTTTCCTTGGCATTGAGGTGCACCTACAGAGAGATGTCCAAGCTTCCATTAACCCACGTATTCCCACTCCAGCTGCTGCTGTTCCAAGCCCCAGGCAGGCCCCAGGCTCCCACTGCAAACCAAGGGATTTTGTAGCTGTTCCTGGAGTCCCTCCCAGGCAGCACAGCCACTCACACCTGCTCTGATCTTAGACTGTACCAAATCCTGCACCTCTGGTTAGGAAACAAGAGTTCCTACAGCTCCACAGAGAATCACTGAGGTTGGACAAGACCTTTAAGGTCACCAAGTCCAACCATTAACCCAGCAGTGTCTAGTCCACCACTCAGCCATGTCCCTGAGCATCATTTCTCAGCTTTTGATGTTACCTCAATGTCTTCCTCCTCTAATTTAGGAAACAATCCCCTTCCTGAGCATCTAACTCCATTTTATGTACCCTAAAAGCCTCAGACAGAGAGGTCCAGACTGTGTTTGCGTTTCCTTTTTCCATCTGTGTTTATTCTTTAAACAGTCATGGCTTGGTTTAATGGTGCTTTTATTCCTGTGCCTTTTGTGTCAAGTGTGGCAAAGGGAAGCCAAGGTCAGGGCAAGGCCCCTTAGTCCAGTTCACTGAAACATTTTCCTGTTACAGCCCAGCAAGGAGGTACCTGGTGAGAAAAGGAAACACACGGAGGAACATGAAACAAAGCCCCTGCTTGTCCTTCTCTCCCACAGTGTCAACAGACACCGGGGTGAAAGCTGCCTCTGCTGTGACATTTTACACTGGATTTACCCTCTGATTTATCCCACTGCATCCAGCTGTACAGCAGGCAGGTCTGGCAGCAAAACAAGAGCACAAGCAGCAGAACACAAGGAAAGGATGGGAGAATTAGGATTCTTCAGCCTGGAAAAGAAAAGGCTCTGGGGAGACCCCCATTGTGGCCTTCCAGTGCCTGAAGGAGTGACAAGAGAGAGAGAGGACTCTTCACAAGGGCACAGAGTGCCAGGAATGGCTTCACACTGGAAAAGAGTAGGGCTGGATGGGATATTGGGCAGGAATTGTTCCCTGGCAGGGTGGGCAGGCCCTGGCACAGGGTGCCCAGAGCAGCTGGGGCTGCCCCTGGATCCCTGGCAGTGCCCAAGGCCAGGCTGGACAGGGCTGGGAGCAGCCTGGGATGGTGGGAGGTGTCCCTGCCATGGCAGGGGTGGGATGAGATGGGATTTAAGTTCCTCCCCAACCCAAACTTTCCACAATTCTAAGGTTTAAGCACTGCTCCACTCACAGAACTCTTCTTAAGGGACTTGAGAAGCAACAGCCGAAAAACCCAACCAGAAAGAGGAACCCAGGCGGAAGCAAGGCCGGAATAAAAAGCAGGAAGCAATAAAAGCACTCAGGTTCAGCCAGGCACCCCCAGCCACTGCTCTCCAGCAATGTGACCTTGGGAACAAACCGGGAACAGCCTGATTCCCCTAATTAGGCTGTGCCACGTGTGTGGTGCTGGCAGAGCCAGGCCCAGCAAAGCTCTAATGATAATCAGAAATGACCCACAGCAAAAGGCCAAAGTGCCAATGATTCCTGCATCAAGCCCATAACTTATGGCTCAATTGCCACCGCTTTTCTAAAAGGGCAGCAAGTCTTGGATTAACGATTTCAAAGACGACAAATCCACCATAGCCTTTGATATGTTGTTCCAATGCTTAATTGCTCACACTGTCAAATAATTAAATGCATTATGGCTTTTGCAACTAAATTAAAAAGCCCTGTCTCATCAGAACCTCACACTCCCAGGAGATACTTATGGACTATGACCAACTTCTTTCTTTTAAAACTTTCTTTTCAATCATTTTAATAGAATGAGCAAATTGAGTGGCCATAGGATCATTTTCTGGACCTTGGATCACTCCTGGGTCTGCTCCCAGTTGTTCTACCCCTTAAAAAATGCACGTCAGGAGTGCAGGGCACAGCATGCCAAGAATAGTCTCAACAATACTATTTATACCTCTTAAAAGTCCTGAGTTTATAGATCTAAAGGTTAAAAGTAACTCTTGGTTACACAATTATTCTGAGAATTCCCAAGTCCCCTGAAATATCCAGTGCTTTCCATTTCTAAATTAAATTTATTAAAAATGAGCTTGGGACAGGCAGATCTGACACGAGTGTAAACAAGGGCTGCATTTTGTGTCCTTTAAGTGCAGGTTTTTGCAACTGGTCTCTGATAAAATGTGCTGTTACTCCCAAACACCAGGAATTAACACTCAGGCCATGCCAGACTGCTTGAAAGAATACAATCCAATTATTAAATTGAAAAGTATTGTGTTATTAGCTCGGGGTTTTTCTCTCCCTCTGTAATTACAACGCAGAAATAAATTTAAAATCTTCAACAGGCTGCACAACAACTGCTAAAAGTGACTTTTCCATGGCAATTCTGCTGAAAGTTTTTTTTAAATCAAATTAAGTCTTGTGAGATAAAGATTTACTTGGAGGCATATGCAGCAATGGTAAAAAAAAACCCCAAGAATTCCCAGAAAGGGGTGAAGAGAATTCTCGTGTGTATAAAATATTACATCTAAGGATTGCAACAAAAAGGATCAGCACAAATTTTAAAGTCAGTTTTCTCACCGCCTTTCCTTGTTCTCAGCTACACAGAAGTTACATCATTGCTGTTCTTATTAAACAGGTTTTAAATCAGAGTTTGAGAGAACGACTGAGAGCAGAACCCCATGCAAAGGAAACTCCAGGATGCAGTTTGAGCTCCCTGTGGGCCACTGGAGGCCAAAAAAAGGGCTACAAATGAGAGAGAAAAAGAAACTGCAACACCAACATCTTCATTTCTTGCAGCTTCTCGTGTGGTATCAGCTCATCCCATCCCCATTATCATCACCCCCATCAGACCTTGCCCTTTTGCTTTGTTTCCTGCACATGGGAGGGTCAGAGCTTGCTGAGCAATCCCAGACCCCTGCAATCCCCTGGCTGCCACCTGCCTGGCCCCGGGAGATGGGCACAGGGTGTTCTCTAGGCCAGAGGCTCCTGCAGAGCAGCCCCAGCCCAGGCCAGCACAGCAGCACCTGTGTGCACACACAAAGGAAGCAGTTTAAAAGCTCTGGGATCAGGTATTTAACAGCAATGCTACTTAAGACCAACATAAGCAAAGTATCTCCTGCTCCAAGCTCTTCCTCCCTGCCCACACTGTCTCCCCCAGTTCAACCGGCACCTGGCACTTTGGGGACAACACTGTGAATCAGGCCAAAACACTCATTTAAAGGATTTTTGCACTATTTGCTGACCCAGTCCTCTGCACAGCATAAAGAAAACATCACCAGAGACACACACCCCAGACTGCAGCCTCGTGGTCACCAAGGAAAGGAAACACAACTTGGGATTCCCAGTTCATCCATCTGCTCCTCCTGCCACCAAAGGTAACTCTGGGATGCCCTCACTACCTTTATCACCCTTTATCCCTTATGTTTTACTGAAGTTAAGCTCAGAAACGGTGGTTCCCAAGCAGGAGGAGCCTTCTCCAAGCACAGGACACACATACAGACACACACTTGCCTTTCAGTCTGCTGCCTGGCCCTGGAAACTTTTGGGTTCTTAACAGGGCTGTAAAATGGATTAGAAGTGAAAGAAAGATTCTTCCAAAAGGGTAATGCTTGTGTTCCTGCTCTGTTCAGAAGGGGAGCAGAAATGATGCTGTCAACAACTCTTCCAAGATCTCTGTTCAAAAACCACCTTAACATGCGACAACATCAATTAAAATTGTCACCTGTTTCAGATTCAGCTTCGATCCCAATTCAGGAAGCAACTCCTAAACAGAGAAAAAGCTGGTTAAATTGGTGAGAAAATTCTCTTCTTCCTTTCAGAGACCAATTCACATGTGCAGGAAAAGGTTACCAAGGTCCCCTGACAGCTATTGGATTACAGAAAACAATTTTTTGGCCCCAGTGGGTTTCTACAGGAGCCAGGGGAAAACAAATATTCACACTTTGCAGGCAGCAAAATACCTTCCTCCTCTCCTCCTCCTGGGCAGAACCGAGTTTCACCAAGAAAACAAAAGTGCCCTAAAAAATATTAGCCAAGCAAACTACTGTGTCCTGTAACATCAGCTCCTGGGTGATTTCTACAATTTATTTCCCAGGATACAGCACCTGATTTCATGGAGGTTTTGAAGGGGATAAGGTGTGAAGGTTGGTGCAGGAAAAGCTCCTGAGCTGAGGAGCCTCCTTTAAGCAGCTCAACAAAGGAATAATGGGGATAGAAAAATGACAACTAGCAAGGACTCTGCTGCTCCAAAGAAAATAGCATGTAAATTCCAGAGACAACGGGGAAAATGAGATAGCAATTATCAGGAAGGCTGAACACAACAGATGTTTTATTGTCTTGCAGAACTGAGATCAAATCTTGGGTTCCCATTCAGCTGCAGAGGCTTGAGCAGAGACCATGGGAACAGCCTCTTCTCACCACCCTTCCTGGGAATGTTGCTTCTCTCCCTATTTTAAGCCCAAGACAAATGGCCAGAGGAGCTGAGGACAGGCTTTGTACTTTCTAGAGCAGCCCAACAAGTGCAGGCTTTGGTTTTTTTGAAGCTGCTTTTGTCGTGTGAGCAAAAGAAGGATCACCAGCATCATCCCAGTGAGCTCCCAAATACCACACACCACTTCCCAGAGACAAACCTTGAAGCCCAAGGGGTTGAATATAAATATTCCTCTGATGCAACATGAAATATGAATGAGGAAAACTCTCCCTCCCAAGCTAGGAGTCACCTTTTAGGAGGGAATTCCCTCTTTCAATTTCTCAGCCCCACAGGATCTCTCTCTGTGTTAAATTCCACAAGGGTCTGGGGGTTTGCCGGGCCGAATTCCAGTTCACAACTGGGGGCTGGAGGCAGTTTGGGCTGCAAAGCCTTCCCTGGGTAAGAGACATCCTGGTGGGAGAGTGATGGCAGCTGGGCTTCCCTGTGAGAGCCAGGAAACACAGCCAGGGTGGGAGCAGAGAATTCAAATGCAGCCAGGGAAAGGCAGAGGGGAAATGAGTGGTGAAGGGGGCTGCCTGGAAACCCTGGCAGGCAGGTGTGGCTTCTGCCCCTCTCCCCAGCCTGGTGCCCACAGGTTTTGATCTTGCTGTGCTCTTTGGACTCCCAGCTGCTTCCAGAGGCACAGGTGGTGCCGCAGCCAAGGGACCTTTCCCCATCTGGAGCTGGCGAGGTGCCTCTTTCCCCTTTTTTCTCTCTCTTTCCCCTTTTTTCTCTCTCTTTCCCCCTTCTTCTCTCTCTTTCCCCTTTTTTCTCTCTCTTTCCCTGCTCCAGAGCACAGGGACTCACAGCTTTGAGCCCTTCCCACCTCACCATTGCTGTGCTGAGATGAGTGGGATCTCAGGGCCCCTTTGGATCTGCTGGATCACAGCACCAATGCATTCCACCGACCTCGACAAAGCTGCAGCAGCTTCCATGCATTTCTGGGAGTGACTCCCATGGCTAATCCTTTCCTTGACCTAAAGGCCAGTCTCCCTCCACCCTCAGACACAGCACAATGAGAGGATCCAGCTCACTGTAGTCATATAAAGCATCACAGGGATGAAAACCAACTGCTTACAGTGGAGATCTGCCTGTTGCAGGATCTACTCCCTACCTCTGGCAAAGAACAACAACAAAAAAATAACCAAACTCGTCCCATGACAAAGAAAGGCCCATTTCTGTCCTCCCCACCATGAATGCACCAAATGACAGCTCCTTATGCCTCCAAAAAAAAATAAAGCAGGGCTCTGCTTTATTAAGTGATGGTAAATCCACCCCTAAGGATTCTGCAGAGAATATTTCCCAATGACATGGAGGGAAAACATCATCTGTTTTAACCCTAAAATGACTCCTACAGCAATGCAATCAAGCTGCCTCACAGATCAGCTCCTTGACAGCTTCCAAGCTTAGGAGCAGCCTCAAGTTTACATGCTATGCTTAATTTCCTTTGGGTTGACCTTAGAAGAAATCAAATTTGTTTCACAAGCATCTCTGGATGCCAGCAGAGGCTGAGGAGCAACAGAGCCATGAGAGAGAGGCCATTTAGTGTCTCACACAGATCTGCTGGAGGAGGCAATTGATCAATTATATATTTAGAAACACAATAGGGACAGGAGCTGGTGGTGGCCATGTGACCATCTATTTTAACATCTCTGTCTGTAGGAAGAGAAAAAATTTTTAGCTATATATATATATATATATATATAATAAATACCTAATAAATATATAAATATAATAAATATGTAAAATATATAATAAATATTTAATATATAATATTTAATATAGATAATATTTGGTATATATAATATTTGGTATATAATAAATATTTAATATATGATATAAAATATATAAAATTATATATAATATATTATAATATATATTATATATATAAAATTTATTTATTTTTATATATAAATAAATATAAAATTATTTATTTATATATAAAAATATATAAATAATATATAAATATATTTATTTATATATATAAATAAATAAAACAAAAATCCCAATGGGCTCAGCAGGCAAGCTGTGAGCACCACGTGTTGCCATGCAGTCAGGTATCCCTCACACCCCCAGAGAAAGCCAAGAGCAAGCCCAGCAGCAGCAGCAGCAGCAGCTCTGTGCTGGGCAGGTACATTACCAGGCTGGGGGTGGGTTTAGGCATTGTCTTCCGTGCTCGGTGGACCTTGACTTCAGCGTTAGCAGCGGGGGCTTTTTTAGCATCCATGTCCTTACTGCCCTCCCCGAGCTTGCTTGGCATGGTGGCTTGGAGCTGGGCAAAGGAACCCACAGTCCTGCCCTTGCCTGCCCCTCCAGGCAGCGTTTTTGCAGCGTGGCCAGTGAGAGAAGCAAAGCTGGTAGTCCTTAGAGGCTGCTCCTGTGCCATCTGCTTGGTTAGGATATATCCATTGCTCCCTGTGACAGAAGTCTGTGTGAAGTCATTTGCTTTCAGATGGTTTTGCTTCCCAGGCTCGCCGTCCCGCTCCGAAATGCCGTTTTCTGCTATCCTATTTAATTTAGTAGTAGAGTCCTGCTGGCTCACTTTCGTGTTGTCCTGAGTGTTTTTTGCTGGGTTTGGGTGGCCCCCACCCTCGCTGTGCTCACAGGAACCGTTGGTTTCGCCATCTACCGCCATTTTTGGTTCCCCCACTTGCTTTTCTGTAGCGCTTTCATCTGCAGCCATGGCATTAAACCCTGGAGGGAGAGGGAGGAGAGGGAGGAAGAGATGAGAAAAGGGTCACAAGCGGTGTTGGAACTCCTGAGGAAAGGTACAGCTACTCACAGTGTAGGAGCAACCCTCTCCTCCAGCACCCTGCCTGATGGAAATCACAGAATCCCAGAATATTTAGGGTTGGGAAAGACCACTGAGATCATCCAACAGTGGATTAAACACCACCACATCAACTAAAGCACAGCACTGTCAGGCTGTTCCCTCACCCACCTGCCCGGATCCTGGATCCTCACACGGTGACATTTGGAGCGGCTGGCCCAGGTGACAGCAGGGCACTTCCTCCCACTTGCCTCAGCTGCAGATGTGGCCATTTATTCCCAATATTTTTCAAGGTAAATATTATCTCTGCCTTTTCCAATAACTGCATTTATTGGACCATATGTCAACACCTCACCTGGCAAACAGAACTCTGCCCCATCTTGCATCCGGATCTCTGGCAAAGCCCTTCCCAAAGCCAGTCTGACACGGAAAAGCTTTGCTGGTAGGGCTCTCCCAGTGAGCTGTTGTGGCACACACACAGCCCAGCAGCCAAATGTCCACATCAGGGCTCTGCTGCCACAGGGAACATCACAAGGAAGAATTCCCTGGCCATCCCAGCTCTCCTGGGAATGTTGCTCAGTGGGAATTGGCTCTTTCAGCATGACAAAGCACAACAGGACCAGGATTCATGGTGTCATTTCAGAGGTAACAGCAGGAGTAAACACAGGAGTGAAGTGTGGTAAATGCATTTCTAGACTAAAATAATTCTGTGATTCAAATGCAGCAAGGTTTTTGCAGCCTGACAAAGCTCATGCACATATAAAACATTCCTTTTCCTTCCCTTCTAAACACTTCCCTGTTCCTCCATCAATGACTGTCCCATTTCAAATCCAAGCTGAAAAAAAATCCAACTGTGTCATGTACTTGCAGGAAAGTTTTTGACATGACAGCCCAGCAGCTCCCCAGGCAACCAGGAGCGATAACAATTCACTGGCACGCTCAGTGCAGTGATTACATCAACCTGCTGTTAGGGATTCCTTGGCTTGTTTTCCTTCCAGAGACCAGACAGTTATGAAAAGCAACACAAGAAGCACAGGGACAGCTCTGTCAGAGCAGGGGGGATTGATTCAAACCAGCTCCCATCAAAGCAATTTTCACCTACGGGATCCAAAGAGCCTGGAGTCACACTGGAGGAACAGCCAGACCACTGGGTCTCAGCACCTCATTTCACAAACAGGCAAGGAAAACAACGCTCTGAATCCCAGAATCAAGGCTGGAAAAACACGTGGGCAGTGCTGAACTCACACCAGGGTCTGTCCATGGGCATCTCAAAGACCTCCTGCAGCACTGACCCCTCCAGCCCCAGACTGCCCATCAATTAAGAGGGGGCAGTGCCTCTGATGCTCCTCATTTCCAGCTGAAAGCCACAGATGTTGGGCACAAAGCACCTCAACAGATGGATCTGGAAAGTCTCTCCAAACCCTGAGTGGTCACTCTGCCCTGGGGATCAGCTCTGGCCATTTTTCCTGATGAGACACTGCACTAAGAGATCCATTCCCCCTAAAAATCCAGGCAACCCAGCCTGGGATTGCCTCCCATGTGGGCTCTGCTGCCTCACAGCCTCCAGAGATCTCCAAAACATTCAAAAATTGCTCTCTGGAGCACACAGAGACACAAACCTCACCTGCAGGAGCAGTGACTGCGGGTTCTCCAAGCAGGATTCAAAGTTATCACCTCCACCTGCTCCCTCTCACACCACCCAGACCTCCCTGTGGCACAAGGGTTTGTTTTTGATAGCAAGAACTCTGGGAGAAGATCAAGTGCTCCTTTTCTCACTGTTTTATTTAACTATTTGAAAAGCTGTGGGCAGAGGGAGCCACAACTATGCCTTTATTTTTTTCAATTCTTGTTTCTGTTTCAGGGTCTTTAAAAGGCCATTTAGGCAATTATTGCAGCGAAGTCAGTGCCAGGGGAAAAAAAAAAAAAAAGAAAAGCAACAAAAAAGAAGCTCTCTAACCACAGCTGGAGGTTTCTAGAGCCCAGCTTTAGGCACCTGGCTGAATGAAGCCTTCAATATTTGTTGATTTAAACACTGTGTTCTCCCACCAGAGCAGTCAAATAACTTCAGTGGCTGACTATGAGATAAACTGAATAAGCAGAGAGCAAGAGTTGCTCTACCTGCCATGAAAGCAACCAAAACAACGTGAATTAGAGCACTGCCCCAGGGAAAAAGTAACTGCATTACTCCAGAAAGCATCACGGGCTTTATGAAAAACCCATGAAGCTAAAATTAAAATCACACACACTTATTTCCCTTATTGTGAAATGCAATCTGATTGCCTGTGGAAGAGGCACCAGCCCTTCCAAACCTGTGTGAACAGAGATTTGATGGACAGAGATAAGGAATTTCACAGCAGAGGCCACAAGGACTGAGAAGGAAGAGAACCCACATTTCCCTCCAGCCTCCAACAAGGCTGAGATGCTGCAAGCAGGATCTTCCCTTTCTTTGGGGTAAAACCCCCTCCATTCTCCCATTCTCCCTTCTGGCAGCACTACAACAAACCCAGGAAGAGTTTGGAAAAGAATTTTCTTGTACACACTGAGCTCCTGCAAGAAGCACCATCCCCATTTCAAACTGAACTGCTGCTCCTGGGGAATCAGGTTATCTCAGGAGCTGCATCACAGTTTGAGCTGGTCATGTTTTCCCAACCAAGACACCTGATCTGGTGACAGGAAAACAGGAATTGCCATCCCAGGTTCACCAAGGGCACCAGCACAGCACTGCTGAATAGGCACAACTCAACATATTTCACAGCCTTGCTGAACTCTGGCCCACAGACAGGGATGGGAACACAAACCAGAGCCAGCAGGAGCCTCACGATGACAATACTGAATCAAACAGCCCACAGAAGCTCTTCAACAGCTCCAGACACCTAAAGAAACACTTCTTCCTGACGTGACCTTTTCATCACCCCACTTTTTCATTCCAAAAAAAAAAAAAAAGCTTCACTGAAAACCTGCTAAAATCCTCATTTCAAATACACCTCGTGGCAGTGAGCTCTCCCCTTGAAAATGCTGCTCAGCAGCTTTTCTGCTCCTGTGCTGCAAGTGCAAGGGAATTATAAAACTAAAATTGGCATTTCTCTAAAACTTTGTGACTTTACAGCATTCATCCCTTCTAAGTAGGCCAAAACGAGGTTTTCTCCACATTTAGTTTTCTCTCCAACTCGCTCACTGCTCTTTAATCTACACCCATCCTTCCTTTAATTAAAAAGAAATAAAAGGTAAGAAGTTCTAGCCTGCACCCATGAAGAAGCATTATTAATTAGAAGTATCTCAGCCTTTTCAAAGTTCCTTAAGGCATCCTCAATGCCAGATGCAGCAGGAAAAGCTTCTCCCATGGACCCCAACACTGCCTGAACGTCCATCTGAGCTTGGATTCACTCAAAACCCAGGTAACGTGCCCAAGAGACTTACTGGTGGTACTAGAAGTACCAAGTTGGCACAAACTTCAGTAAAAACACATTTTTTAGGGTACATTTTATTAACACAGTGAATTTAAGACTGAGGAGGCAAAGAATACCCAATAATCAATTTAAATCTCTCCTGTGAATTAACAACCCCCTGAGAGCACTGCAGAACTCCCAGCCCTCCCCAGGCTCAGGCAGAAGGGTCAGGCTCGAGTTTTCATCCCAGAGCATCACAGTTGTTTAAAATGGAATTAAAATTCTCCCAAAGAAAACAGACTCAGATGGAAGTTGGGGAGAAGCTAAGGCAGGATGAGACCACCCCATCTAATTTTAGGTGTCTAAAAGGCATCTCAGGCTCTGGGGGTCCCTGAGCCACCACTGCAACCCACAGAGAGCTCAAAAGCAGCACAGGCTGACTTTAAACATCTCTGGAAAACTCAGCCCTGCCTGGGCCATGTGTAAGTAGAAACAAGCTGGATTAATTCAGAATTAGAACAGTAACTTCAAAAAAAACCCCTAAATTAGGCAAAATTAAAGCCCCCTCTGCTCTCTCAGCCCAGATATCGGTTCCTCTTCGCTGTCTTTGCCTGCTGGGGTTTCCAGCCCTTTCAGCAGAGCCAGACCTGGCTCCAATCCTGCCCTGGAGCTCGCCAGAGCTGGGTCCAGCCTGCCAAAACTTATCTGTGGGCAGAGGGTGTCTAACAGATGTGTCACTGTCCCCAGCAGCCATCCTGGCCACAGCCAGAGGGGACACGATCACCTCTGTGCACCTTCAGAAACTTCCCACCTGAGGGAGGCCAGGTAGCAACTCAAAACTCAGTGTTACTTTGATAATATTCTGAAAAAAAATAAAGGCTTAAATGTATTTTTTAAGTTTGGAGTTCACTGCTCAGTGAAACAAAATAAGAAAAATACGGAAATGTTAGGAGGCCTTGTGCTCCAGGGCAAACTGCAGCCACCAGGTCTGAGGGAAAAGAGAGGGAAAAAGAAAAGAAATGGAAATATATTCTGCTACAAATGCACTACCATCTTATCTGGAACCTTTACACACTTTTCTGAGCATCCTGGTGCTGAGGACTGGTGGAGGCAAGACACTCTCTGCCCATGGGATTTTCCATGAATTTCCAGAGCCCTCAGCACAGAACCCAAGTAGAGCCAAGAGGCTTCAGCTGCTGCAGGAGAAATGTTTAATCAAAGACAGGGCTTAAATGAACTTAGCTTAAATGAACTAAGCAAAGCCAGAGCTTAAAGGAAAAGCTCAGGATTTGGAAGTGCAAACCAAGAAGTGCACACAGCTGTATTTATACATACACACATCTCACAGATGTTCTACCTTAACCACTTTGCAGATCATCCTTAAAACACCACAGATCCCACAGCCTTTGATTCAATACCCAACTGTCCTGCTGGATAAAAGCAAGAAAAGCACCTGCTTTTAATCTTTGTGTTACAGTTCCTGTCCCTCTTCCTCCTCTAACTCCAAGGAAAAGGAAATCTGCCAAGCAGAGGAGAGCCCAGATGCCATCAGGAGGATGAAGATGTTGCTCCAGACTAACCAGACCCAGCTCCTGCAGTCTCTCCTCATATGAGAGATGCTCCAGACCCCTCATCACCTTTGTGGCTTCTGCTGGACCCTCTGCAGCAGCTCCTTGTCTTCCTTGAACCACAAAGTCCAGAACCGAACCCAAAACTCCAGATATGGTTGAGTAGAAGGGAAGCATCATCTCCCCTCACCTGCTGGCCACACCAAAACACCCTCCAGCATTCCCTTGGCCCTCCTAGCCCCCAGGACACAGCTTGAACATTAACAGTTAAACTGGCTCAACAGTTTAATGCTCAGAGCAGGTTAACAGCCTCCATGAAACTCCTTCATCCCTGTGCCATGGGATGGGGCCGTGGTGTCACAGCCCAGCTGTGCCCAAGGGATGCTCCTGCTCCAGGGCTGCACATCCCTCCTGGAGCAAGGCTCCCAAACCCAGGGAGTGCTTGGTGCACAGCTGGATGAAGATGTAAAATCCTGAAGCATCACTTTGCTCTGCCTGGCCTCCTGCTGTCAGCCTCAGCAGGGATCCCAGTGCCAAGTACCTGAGGAGAGCAGATTAGTCCTTCCCTCCTTTCAAGCTGCCATCCCTGCACCTGGGAATGCAAAGGCTGCAGCTGCTCAGTGGAAATCAGCACTTCCTGTGCTCACAGCAGCTTCCTACCTGCAATAACAGGGAGAAAAAAGGAAAAAAAAAAAAAAAGGCCCCTCCAGGAGTTTAACCCCCTGGCAGTCTCTGAAAGCAGGCTGAAGTTTATCTGAGAGCAGTGACTGTGCAGGTCTCACCCAGCACTGTGGCTCTTGTAAAGCCTTGGGTGAAGGCTCAGAAACACCGGAGCAAATCTTCATTCCCAACACCCACTCCTGCTCCTTTGTGCTGCTGCTTTACTGGAACTTTCCACCCCTGGGCTTGGGGAATCAGAAAAGGAGTGGTTTGCCTTGAAAGGTCAAGGGAGACGCAGAGCTGGGAGTGAAGCACATGAGGAGAGCTGAATTCACTTGCAATTCTTGCAAAGAAACCACTTTTTAATAGTTTCTCTCTGAGTCAGACTAAAGACAATATGGCCTAATAAAAGCTTTTTTCCACTCATCTCCCATCTCCCTGCCCCCTTCCCCACCCTGTCAAAGGGAAGTATGGCCCTAAGCTCACACCCACATGTAAAACTGAACTGGAACATTTCCCACGGACCACAAAACAGCCTCATCCACAGCTTTTTTCTATCTGTGTTGGGCAGTTTTACACAGACAGGGACACTGAGCCTACTGAACAACTTCCACAGGCTGAGACTCACCCCCAGAACCGGGAATGAAAGTGCTGAACGTGCAAAGAGCTTGTTCCTACAAACACATGTCACCTTCAGAGTTCAATTCTTTATCAGGGTGAAGGCAGGAGAGGACAGGCCAGGTGGGAACCACAGGGCATTTCTGCAACACCTCCCTCTTGAGGAACAGAGAACAGAACTCCACAACCCCAAGGCCTCCCACCCTCAGGATGTTCCCTGAGAGCACCCACCCCATCCCAAACACCAACAACCCACCCCCAGCTGCTGAGATGTCCCAAATGAAGGCTGGCAGGCTGAGGACCACCAGGAAAGGTCCACTGCCTCAAAGCAGCACATCAATGATGGCCAGCATGGATTGGGCTTGGAGCACCCTGCTCTATGGAAGGTGTCACTGCCCGGGGCAGGGGATGGAACGAGATGAGCTCTGAGGTCTCTTCTAGCCCAAACCCCTCTGTGATTCTGTGATTCTGAACTGCTGCTCCCATGGCAAACTCCTACCAGAGCAGGAGTTTTCCCTGCAGCAGATCTTCATGGAGATCTCCAACAGGCTGGTGTTCACCAGTGCTGGAGTCAGGCAGTGCTCACAGGAACCACTGCAGCTGACAGGCCTTGCTTGGGCTCAGACCCCTAAATATCAGCCAAGGCTTCAAGCTACCTGAATTTCCTGTCTTGGCCTGGACTCAGGCAAAGCTCAGGTTTGCACAGAGGTGGAACTGGTGCAAGGCCATTCAGAGGCAGACTGGAGCTATGGGATGTGCTAACACAGTTCCAATGGGGACCTGACCTGCCCTTGGCATCAGCACCTTTCTGAGTCAGGGGAGAGTGAAAAGAGGAGAAAACAGAGCAATTCACAGTAAACTTTTAGCCCAAACAGCACCTTTAGTCAGCCTTTGGATCTGCAGCTTCAAGCCTCTGGAAGTTTAGATGCCAGGTTTAATATTGACAGGTGACCTGCCAGGGGGGTTTTCCAAAGGGAACACAATCCAGAGCAGGCTCCCATCAAACACACCCTCAGCAGCCCAAACTAAACCTGTGTTTGTGCCACTGACAAAGATATTCGACAGCATCACCCTCCTCACTAAAGGGAAATGACTGTTCAAGAAAACTTGAAGAGAGAAAGCTGAGATTTCAGGGTGCTTTTCCAGTCCACAGTTCCCAATTCCATCTCCGAGCCAGAAAACTGGGCTCAAAGAAACTGTTCCATGCCACCCTGCAAGTCTGCTGGAATGATTTCATGTTCACGCAACAGTCAAAAATGTGAATTCTGTGCCAGCACTAAACACTGTTATTAGCAGGCTTTGGGGCCGTGAATCAATGTTCTGGTGGTGATGATCCCCTGAGGATCCCAGCTGGGGAGCCAGGGGCAGCAGGGACAATGTCCCAGCACAGCAGCACACACCCCATGGTCTGTGACACTCGTGGTGTGCCTGGGGAGACACCTTCTGAACACTCCAGAAGAATGGAGACTCACATTTAGGAGCCTCCTTTCCCTGGGAACAGAGCTGGACAGTAGACTGGAGTGGTTGGAATTTCAGCACCTTGTGAAGCCTCCTGTTCCTGCACAGGGAGGGCTCTCAGCTTCCTTCTGACACAGCAATTGCTCCAAGTCAAAATCAGTCAAGAGGCATAGAAATGTCTCTTCCTACACTCCTTTTGGATTTTTTTACCTCCACAGATTCTTAACACGGTAAGATCAACCAAGAGCTACACAAACAAGGTCTATAATCCTGAGCTAAGAAAGGCAAGGGATCAAACTGAGTTTCCTCAGACCAACACAACCTCCCACTGGCACCTCTGACACCTCAGACTGTCTCCACTCTGCCCAGACCATAGGTCCCTATCCTGCTGGCAGCAGGATTCCTGTGCTCCCAGTTAATATCCAAGCACCTGACACAGCATTTAGTATTTCTGCCTGTTCTGAGCTTTACTTCCTAACTAGAGCAGCTTGACAAAACTTAAGCTGGACAGAAAAGAAAGAAAAAGCAATGCTATACTCGCACATGACTGAATTAAGTCCAAAATTTTGCTTCTAGATAAGAGTAGGGATTTCAGTGGGGCCAGTTCAGTGCTTTCCTAATGCTCTATTATGGAAAGGAGAACAAAAATACACCAAATCCCTGAAGAGCTATGAGAAGTAACTAGTCCAGGAATAATAAAACCATGAAAGGAGGGAGTTGGGGGAAAGTTAAAGGGTGGTGGGGTTTTTTTTCCCTAATCCCACTGACACATTTATTAAGCCCTCAGATTTGTGTGCATGTAACTCACAGACAATGCTGCAGGAAAAGACTTTGTCAACAGAACCTGTGCTGCAGTGAAAGCTGCAGAACCCACACAGGGGCCACGAGGTGTGGGGTGTGTGACCCCTCCAACCACCCTGCAGCCATTGGGGCTGCTCTGCAGCAACAGAGAAACCCACAGCAAAACAAAATGTCAACGTTGCTAGAGGGAGGAAAAGGTCAGTGTGGGGAGGGATCAGAGTTCAGCTAAAACCTGTCACACACACAGCAAGTTCAAAGTAACTCCTGGGCGCTTCACACCAAAGCAGAAGTGAAAATTAGATCTCCTTCTTCAGGGGAGTGGTGAGGGATGGACTGAAAAGCAAATCTGCATCTTCAGTGGAAGAGCCCTGCTGAGAATAAACACAGGAGAAGGGAGCCTGTGTTTGTGGGAGCACACCTGAGGTGCTGGGGGCACCGAGCACATCTCCAAGCCCCCAGTTTTGTCCCCATCACATGCCCACCTCATGAGCCAGCTCTGACCCTCAACCAGGGCAGGTGCTCACCTTCCTCTTTGTTGTTGGTGATGTCTTTCAGCAGCTCAGTCTTCATGCAGCCGTCTTTCCTTGGCTCTCCCTTACTCAGCACTGCTCGCTACGGTGGGGGAGAAAAAACAGAAATGTCAGGGTTGAGCTCAGTGCTCGGACACACGGTGCATTCAAAAGAAGAGACAATCATGGACACATCCTGTTTACAACACAGCCAAACCTCCCTCTGCAGAATGAAGGCTGCCAGGAAGCTGCCACCGAGGCACAGGTCACAGATAAAACACGGCAAGGCTGGCCCCAGCTGACAGCCCGAAGAGCACTGGGGCTCCAGGCTGTGCCCAGGGCTGGCACCTCCCAGCTCTGGCTTGGAGGCAGCCAGACAGATTTTCCCAGTGCAACGTGCTTGGGGATCCAGCTGAGTCTGTCTGTGTGAAAGGCATCTCAAGGAGGTGACTCTGACCCCCCCCAAAAAACTTTTTAGGCTTTGGGTGGGGCAGGCAGATCTATCAGACTTCTCACTACAACCTCATTTATCAACATTTCCAGCCCATGTCCTTTTGGTGGCTTGGTTGGGTTTTTTTGTAGCTCATTCAAATGAACATCCCAAAATGCAAACCATCAGTCAGCTACAGCTAACTCCTCATTCATAACATCCATGTTTATTAAAGTTAATGAGCTCTATTTTTAATTCTATAGAAAGCAATTTTTCTTTTCCCCCCTCTTTTTAAAAAGAAAAAAAATTATTCAAAAAGGGAACACCTGCTCATCTCTTCTGCCTTTCACATGCCTGGCATCATGTTGTTAGATCAGGTTTGCAGCCTTAATACCATCTCTTTTGCTTTCTATTTTGAAGCAGCAAAACCAGACAAAAAAAACCAAAAAAAAAAAACCAAAACCAAAACACAACCAAAAAAACCCCAAAACCGTACCAAAATAAACCAGAAGGAAAATGGTATTTGAAAGAAAATGAACTAGAAGGGGTCTTTGCCACAGCTGTGTTTAAGGAGAGAGCTGGTGTGGAGGCAGAGATGGGGAGGTCGGTGCCGGGTTGAGCGCTGCCGGCACAAGAATAAGCCCAGGTCAAGCCAACTGTTGTAGGCCAGCACGGGGAGCAGATGGTGCCTGCAGCCATGCAAATCACAGGGTTTAAAGCACACTGGGTGATAAAGAAAGAAAAACAACCTGCCCACCTCCCTTAAAGCAAGTGAGGGGGATGAGGCACGCGTGGAGCCCGGTGTGGCAGCTCCCAAACCTTCCCAGCAGCTTGCCCGTGCCCATGTGGCATTGTCCAGGGCTGCCAGGGGAGATGGGCTTGGGTGCTGCTGTCACCTGCTGTCACCCTGCCAGGCTGGTGAACTCAGTGAGATGCCCTGAGAGCAGCCCCCAGCTCCAGGCAGGGCTCACCCAGCCCCAGATCCTGGGAAAGCCTCCAGCACCTGCCAGGCCCGGAGCTAAGGGCACTTCAAGGATGGCTCCTGCAGCACAGGACAGAGGCTGTGGGTGCCTGCCTGTCCCTGCCTGTCCCCAACCTGTCCCGAGCACAATCAGACACAAACACAGTCACATCTCAGGGCTCTCAGCACCAGGAACCTGTGCTCCGAGCACAGCACCTTCAGATCTCCAGTCACAGACCAAAAAGTGAGCACTGGAAAGCTCAGCTCAGCCCAGCCTGACACAGAACCCACCTTCAGCAGACACTGGCCAACAGCTTCCATTGAGAAATGATCATAAAACACAGCCCAAACATAGAGCAGCTGTTTTATTTATTTATTTGAGCCAGTAGTAATATACATCCTTGCTGCAAACATGAGCTTGTAAACCCTACCTCTCCTCTAGTCAGACCTCTTGTAAACTGGGAATAAACTCGTTTTTTCTCAAGGATTATCCTGCTTGCAAGACTTGAGCAAAGAGAGCTCAGAGAGCTCGAGGGCACCCCTGGCTCCCACCAGCCAAGGGCACCCAGGCCCTCGCCACAGGCACCAGCAGCAAATAAAAGAGCCTCAGTCAGTCTAAGAGGGACCAGTTTGATTTCCCAACCTTTGTTGCAACAAGGAGAGGTCTTGATATTCCTGCTACTCCACTGACTCATACAAGACGCCCCAGGATTTCCAGGGGCCATTCTCAGCCATCTGAGCCTAAGTTTTTCTGTATTTTCTAAGCAGTATCCTCACTCCACACATCATCCAGGCTCTCCCTTCCACATGCTGCTCACCCATGAAGAAAAGCCACTGCAGGAAGCCTGCAGTCAATGAGAACTTGACCGCCCTCCCTGCTCACCAGCAGCTCAGAGCTGCCTGCCCAGCTCTCCAAGCAGAATTCCCAACTCCAAGAGAGAAACCACCACTTTTTGTCCTTTGAGAGGACAAAAGCTGGGTGCCAAGGCAAGGCTGGCCGAGGTGGCATCTCACAGCTCTCCTGCTTCCTACCTCAGAGACAAAGCCCTCGCTAGCAGAGGCGACAACGTTACAACTTCCCAACAGAAACTCGGCGTCGAGGTAGAAAATAAAATAATTAAAAATAAATAAAATAAAATAAAAAGCCAACTGTGAATTTTGAAGCATTTTGATCAGAAGGAAGCTACAGGAAAGCCCTCGAAGCCTCATCCCCCCAGGCCAGCGCTCTCCCATCCTTGCTCCATCAGCGCCCAGCACCGAGGGGCACCCATGGGATACCCAGCACCATTCATTCCCACCCAGCTCCACCCAGCCAACTTAGCACCAACTTCACCGCAAGTGTCACTACCTCCAGCTTTGTGTGTGTGTGTGTGTGTGTTGGGGTTTTTTTTGCCCTCCCCTCCCTTAAATCCAGATCAAACTTCCCTTTCTGCTCACCCTCCCCATGCCCCATCCGTCCGTTCCCGATTGGCAGGGAAATCCTATACCCACCCTCCCCGCCGAGAAATGTCTGCTCTTGCAGCAGTCCCAACAAAGCCAACTGCCAAGCACACGCTGCTTCACAATAAAAGTCTCACTCGCTCCATTTCTTTCTTTTTTTTTTTTTTCCTCCTTTCCCCCTTTCCCGCAGCCGTCTGCCTCCATTCCCTCGCCCACCCCAGACTGATTATTAACCATCCGTGGCTGGAGAACCTCCATAAAGAGCAAACACCAGCAGCCACGAAGCATTCTTACCCCCCCTTCCCTCCCCAAGCCTTCATGTTTAGGTTTCAAAGGGTAGAAAAAATTAGTGCATCTGAAGAAAGACTGATTGGGTCTTTGAAAGGGCTTTAAGAGCCATGAGGAGCAAAGCAGAGGAGTTACTGCTGGGTTAGTTTTTTCCTCTCTGCCTCTGTTTACAACAAAACAAGCTTCCTGTCCTCCATGAGGTCTTTGGAGGGGATGGAAGACAGGTCAGACCGGCCAAGGAAAGGCTCTGCAGCATTTCCAAACAGATGATGGCTACAAACTAACAGTGGTGCCTTTAAAACAAACAAATAAAAAAAACCCAAAAAAACCCAACAAAAAAACCCACAAAAAATCAAAGAAAGCCCACCAAAAAAAAAAAATGGAAAATAAAGAAGATAAAAAGAACAAAGCCAGGAAAAACGGAAAGAGCTTTTGCAGCCTCCTCTCCTTGGCATTTTCATCAGCAATCCGGGTGCCCTTCGCAAAGGTCCAAACAGGTTTTATAGGCAAAGACAACACATGCACAGCAAAACTCCAACATATTGCAGCTTACCGAGCCCAAGGGACCAGAGTTACATCATGAGCCCGAGCTCTGCTCTCCCGGCAGCCCGGGAAGGAGCGCAGGCTGAGGTGCCAAGATGTCTACCTTCACCAGGGTCTTTTTTTCTCCTTTTTTTTTTTTTCTTTCTTTCTTTTTTTTTTTTTTTATGTCTTAAAAATCAACGGTCTGGGAACCTGAGGCTCGGCAGCAGCGTTACTGTGAGCAGAGCCGTGCACACACAGCAGGTCCATCTGGAACAGGGCTGGGAGCAGGAGACCCCCTCAAAGTGCCTGTTCCCATCTGGGGCGGCGGATGCACCAACACCTCTGGGATGGACAGCACTGCTCCTGCCTGGGAGCCTCCAGCTGCTCACCAACCCCTCCGAGGTGACACCAGACCCCAGTCAGGACACAGCCCCAGGGAAAGTTCCCACCAGCCAGGAAAACGAGGGCTGCAGCAATGCCGGAGAAAGACAGAGGCAAATCTCTCACCAAATGATGCAACCCCAGCAGCGGCAGATTCTTATTCACTCATTTTTTCCCTCCTTCTCCTAAAAAAAAAAATAATTAATAAAAATAACACAACCCAAACCAGCCTGCTCGTAATAACCTTTGCCTTGAAGAGAAGACAAACATTTTGTAGTTAATTATATAGGAAGCAATGATTAAGAGAATGTTTGTAGAAAGAGAGTGTTTCTTCTGTAGGCACGGGGAGGCTGCTCATTTCAGATCTCAGCACTGTGCTTGGGCAAGGCCTGGGCTCAAGGCTCGTGGGGACGCTGACCACGGGCCTGTCATTAGAAACAACAGAAGCATTTCATCTGGAGAAGGAAGGAAACACAACCACCAGCATACCTGGCCTACAAAGCAGTCACCAGTCTCAAAGCTCCTTTTTTTCAGGCTAAGGCCACTTCCTTATAAGCCTCATGCAATCATGTGAACATGGAATTTTATCTGCAGCTCACAACAAGCACTGCCCTCAGCCTGAAGTTTGCTCCCAAATCAAATTCTTTGCAATTCTTTTGTCTCCTGAAATCCTTTCATCCAGACTCTTCTCCATAGAAAAGAAACATTTCCTTCTCAACCCCCATGTCCTCTCTCCTATTCCAGCCACACACGTCAACTCCCCGAGAAGGGGGGAAGGAGAGAGGTGCAAGTCCCTGCATGCAACAGCTGGGAACACGGAGACACGTGCATGAAACACAACAGGACTTAAAGTGACTTCTCCCAAGACAAGGCATTCCACGACGGCGTGCAGGCTTCAGGCAAGGGGGGTCTGCAGAGCCCCTGCCCTCCTGGAAAGGGGAGATCGATTTACACTTCCTCACTGCTTCCAGGCCCATCTAGCTGCATCCCAGTAGAGTTAAAGCCAGTGCAACTTGTGTGTGCAGGCAAATGTAAATCCAGAGCAGACAAAGGCGTCCCCTCCTTCCACGGGCTGAGGGTAGCAAGGATTCCAGCTGCTGCCTGCCTTCTCCTAGCCCCCGGGAGGGGAGGAGGGGAAGAAAACCCTAAAATGGAGACCAAGATTCATCACTATCTCTAGCAAAAGCAAACCAGCCGTTTCAGAAACACCCAGTCCCCAGGAACTGGCTGAGCCAGGACAAAACCAGAGCACCAAGAGGAGCCTGGAGGAAGCAGATTCCAGCAGTCTCCTGCTGGGAGGCAGCTCACCCCCATCAACGGGGCTCAGGAACCTCTTCAGCCTCCACGCTCTTCTTCATCCCACCCAAAGCACCGCAGCCAGCGGAGCAGGTCCCTGTCCCCCTGCCCATGCCCATGGTGCCCAGCCAAAGGGCACATGGGGCAGCAGAGGAGGGAAAGCCCCTCGTGGGTTCCCATGGGACCACGAGGAGCTGGCTGAGCTGCCCACACCACCTCCACCTGGCTCATCTCCGGCCATGGCGCGGCCAAGCAGCGAGACAGCGGTGCCTGCGAGCCGGGAAAGCGGACGGGGAGAAGGGGGGAAAAGAAAAAAATAACAACAAAATAATAATGAAAATAATCATAATCATAAAACTTGCACCCTCGGGCCTGTCCCTCTAATAACTACAGCAAAACCTCACCAAGGCCTTACTCTGCTGGAGGGCGAGAAAGCGACACAGCGCTGCCCAGCACCCGAAGTCCTGGAGGTGGGAGATCCTCACACCCTCTCCTCCATGGCCTACGGGCTTCGTCCCCGGCGTGGGGCCTGGTTTTTCTGCTCTGTCATTAAGAGTGGAGCCTGGTCTTTTCCTTCAATCCCAAGAATTGCACGGAATTAGATCATCTTTCTGGCTCGCCTCCCCCTACAGGCAGCTCCCGAGCATGCTCAGCGCGGCCGCGCTGCCATTTCATAACCGCATTGTTTACGGACACACGGACCTGCCATCTTTTGACAGGGACACAGGGCCCGTGTCCCTGCCCAGCGCCCCAGCCCCCGCCACAAACACCCCCCTGGGGACAGGCAAACGGCAAAAGCATGGAAAAGAAGAAGCCTGGGGGGGTGATGGTGGTGGGTTTGTTGTTCTTTGGGGTTTTTTTTCCCTGATGGTTTTTGTTTCTTTTTGCTCCTTTTCTCCTCCTTGATTTAGGTGAAAATCCATCTGCTTTGGAGGGAGAGGTTAACCCCTGTGGGGGCTGTGGGGAGGAGGAACTCGCAGGGCTCAATGCAAAATGCCAGCCATGATTTTTAGCTTCTTCGAATCACAACTGTGCTTTGATGTCACCTAAAAATATAATCCCCAGCCCAGTCTGCCATCCTCTGCCGAGCCTTCCTCTGTGAGAGAAGGGGTTGGAAATATGGTATTTCCCTTAAATAAACAAGCTGGCTTAGTCCCAGCACATACAGTTTTCTCCTTTAAATGCAAACCAGAGTATTTTTGCAGGCACACAGGAAAACGAGGAGAGGAGGAGGGGAAATGTTCCTCATTTAACACCAAGAACTCCATGAAAAGCCTTGCAAGGCTGCTCAGAGCCCCACTCCATTCCAGCCCTCTCCCTGTCTGTGCTGATCATACTTCACAGGTGAAAGCAGCCCTGACTTACGACAGAGAGAAAATGCCAGAAGAGCTGGAGGTTTCCTCATCCTTGGAACAAGGACAAGTTGTGAAAAGCTTCCTTTGCAAGAGCCACTGTGCTGCTCAGGCACAGTATGGCAGCGTTGCAGGGAGGACACTTGCACGTCAGACCTTCTAAACCCCCACTGCCTCGACCCTTCTCCACGTCCTTCCCCCTCCTGATGGGGACTGAAGGAAAAAACATAAATAAATCACCTGCTTTGGAGGATGCAAGCTGTTGTGTTGGAGTCCAGGATATCTTTTAAAAGCTTGCTCAACATTTTCTCCCCTTCTATATTTTCTTTTTTCTAATGGATGCTTTCCAATTAGCTTGTACAGTTTGAGAGCTTCGCTCCTGCTGCTTTCCTCACTACTGTAAATCCTGGCAGGCTGCCCTCCTCCTCTGCCCCCCTCCAGGACTGACAGCACCCTACAGCAAAGCCAGACACGTATCCTCCACCCAAGAGACCAAAGATCTCACATGGGCACAAGAGGGACAAATCCCACTGGAAACACGAGGGGCCACAAGGGTCTGCAAAGAGGGGCCGGTGTCAAAACTCTGAATTCGGAGGAGTCAGAAAAAGAACCCCAAAAAAACCTGGCTGAAAACGGTGGTTGAGGATTATAAACTCAGGGATTCATTTCCAAATCACTGACATTCCATGTCACTGCAGGAACATATGGTCCTCCAAGGCTTGCAAGCAGGGAGCACACGCCGTCAGTGCCCCGAGCCTTTGGGCTGACCCCAACACACGGTCACTCTCCCGCTGCGGCCATTCCTCGACCACTCTCAACTCCACGAGCAGGAAGGCGAGAAGGAAAAACTTCAGGGAAAAGCAGCAAAAGGAAAACAAAGAGGAGCAGCAGGAACTAAGCCAGCCCTCCCCCAAACCAGCTGGCCAGGAGAGCGAAGCTCCTTAGAACTCCTTGTTTACCTGAATAAAACAACTCGCTGCCACTGCATGAGGTGCACACATTCCTTAGGAGATGGGCACCGCATGGGAGAGCTCAGGGAAGTCAGGACATGGAGCTGCCTCTGCCCCCTGCCCAGGGCTGGTCTCACAGAGGCTGAGCTGCAGGAATATGCCCCATGTGTGCCACGGAGCCCAGTTCTACCCAAACATGTTCTGGGATGAGGGCAAGAGCTCGTGCTGGCACTGCACATTCAGTCAAATACATGAAACGGAACAAAACCAAGACCCGAAGGCTCCACTTTGGTCTCTTAACCCTTGCTGAGAAGCAGTGCCAAACCCAGACCTCAGCAGCTCTCCTCCCTGCAAAGTAGGTCAGGCTTTTCTGCATCTCTGCAGACGCTTCCCGAGGGCCCCGCCGGCAGGGACGGAGCATTGGGCGCTTTCAGCCGGTGCCACACCGGTGTCACCGTGGCCACCAGCACACAGGAGCACACCTCACACACCTCAGCAGGTTTTTGGTTGTCTCCTCAGCCTTCATCATACCCAAAGCCCATTTCCTCCCTGGGTGGAGCTGCTCAGGCAGCAAGTCAAGGCCTCAGCTCTTCACTGTTAAAGAGAAATCTCATCTCTCTCCTCGTGACTTCTGATGCCTTTTCCTTTTCTTCTGGATGACGAACAAGGAGCACATTTATAGTCCAGTGGAGACACGATAGATATTTAGATTAGGTATCACAGGTTGTCCTGTGTAAGCTCCCTAATCTTTTAAATGCCATCTTCACATCTTGCTCCTTGACTGAAAATTCAATATTGTGCCTGCATTGCAGCTTTGAGGGTCTCCCTGGAGCACAGCAAGCTCAGGCCAGTGTTCTGCAGGGGTGCCCGTGCCTTCCACGGCCCTGGGACCTTCTGTGTCCATCCCAAGTCTCACCAAGGTCTGTGGCAGCCAACAGTTCTTGCACTCAACACAAATCACAGAGGGAAAAAAAAAAAAAAAACCAAACAAAAAACTAGCAAGGGCAGAAACCAGGGGGCTGAGTTTTAAAATATGTTGCAGGCATGGACCTCCTGCCACGAAATCAACTAGGGATGTTTCCTTTTAATCAGCTGTTTCCTTGGATTGCTACTATGAAAAAAAAAAAAAACCCAACAAAACAAAGAGAGAGGGGAGGAAGTCACCCCAAAATAAAAAAGGATTGTTTCTTCCTGGTAAAATATTGTTGCCTCTGGCCTCCACCCAAGTGAGCCAGAGGCAGAAGCTGTCAAAAGAGACCCAGTGAGGAGGTGCCATGCGGCCACAGGCCCTCTCCTCCCCTTCAGAAGTTCAGTCTTCGAGCAGCTCGGGCACCCCAGGCTCTGCTCCTTTTTCTTCTAAGAGCTACAAGCAGGGAGGGCTCCTCGGAGAATTTTCCAGAAACTTCACACTTAAAAAGCACAAATAAATCCTAAAAACACCAAAAAAAAACCCCAGAACCAAACCAACCCCAAGCGAGCCTCCCCACCCCAGGAGACAAATGAAAGGCAGGAGGAAACAAAGCCCGAGGTTTGCGATGCCGGGTGCGGAGGCCGCTCGGAGCCCATGGAACACCGATCCCAGCGGGATGGGTCATCCCACAGGGATGGGTCACCCCAGCCCTCCTGCCCTCCCGCGCACGGGGCGGCCACGCGCAGGAATATCCAAACAAATGAACAAACAGCCCCGGCCATGCTTCCCCGGCCTCTGCTCCTCCTCTCCAAGGCCTCTCCTTCCCCGGCAGGACACAGCCTGCCCTGCCAGGGCCTCGCCAGGCACGGGAGGTGGACAGACCCCTGCGGTACCTGCGGGCAGCTGTTGTCTTCTTCTGGTGAAGACTCCAAGAGTTGCATATTCCAGATCCTCATGAGCAGTGATTCAGTTTCTGCTCATGTGATAAAGCTCCCTCTACAGAGTGAGCATGCCCAGAAGAGCCCATTTCACTGCTCCCTCCACTGCAGCCATTTCACAGAGAACCTGCCGGCTCCAGGGCGTCCATTGGAGCGCGATTATCCCGGGCATCCCGGGGACGCACCGGTAATGCAGATCATCTGTCAACTTTCTGACAGGGCGCCAGGCCTCAAAACTGATCACTCGCCTGAAAAAAAGAGAAAGCTTTTTAAACCAGAGTGCTGTCTCGTGGCCTTCAAGAGTAGCACTTGCCCGTGGGAAAAGGAGAGGCAGGAGGGACAGGGAGGGATGCGAGTGGCTTGGGGATGTCTCCGGGCTGATTTTGTTGTGCTTAGCAAAGCCCCCGACCTCAGAGAGCTGGGATGAAGGCA